ACTTTTCTGATGGAGGATCTGCTACCAAGTGAAATTACTAATAATAAATTGTAAATGGTCACATTTTTATAAAGCACATTCCCACCTTCAAGGCAATCAAATGTTTTACAACAAGGAATCATTCAAACACCAGTGTAACCCTCCTGTGTGTTAAGTGTCTTGCCCAAGGACACAACAGCAGCATTCATCTGGGGGAGTTGGAATCAGACTGCCAGCCTGTGGGTCAGTGGATCTAATCGCTCAACCAATGATGATTATGTCGAGAGTGGGATTTCGAACTGCCAACCTCTGGAACAGTACACAAACACTTTCCCAACTGAGCTCCTCTCGGCCTAATTAGGTAAGTTTAATTCAGTACTGTGAAACAAGACAAAGCAATAATATTTCCATGGAGACAAGTTGGTGATGGACCCTCTTCTAGAAAAATGCCTTATATAACCTTTATATAATGTTAGTATGCAAGTATTTTATTCCACCACTGGGATCTTGTGTTCATAATTTGTATACTTACAGGTTATGCAGTGTACAGTATTACAGGTTATGCAGTATATGTTGTATACTTACAGGTTATGCGATGACATTTGACAGTAATGATGGTGTTTGAGTACGAAACCACAGTAGAGACACATTTAAGAGGACTGCTTGACTAAACTTGCAATTAGCACACATTGGCACAGCGTCATAAAGCGTATCAAGTCTATCTCACAGTCTGCCCCAGGGCTAAGACAAACTCACAAACACCCATGGGAACAACATTAAAAACATAATTATGCCCTTTTCAACAAGCTTGTCCCTCCTTCATGTTTTTTAGATGAAACCAGCTCGCAAACCTTATTGTTATTCCCCTGTGAATTTAAAAACAAAATATTTTCTCATCATATTCCCAGGCGTGTAATTACATCTCAGAAAGTGACAAACCAGTTATCTTGGGTCAGGCACCAGCGCAAAGATGATACGTTTGAGTAAGAAATATGTTGCACAATTGTGAGAATGTAAAATAGCGTTCACTTAAGACTTCTATTTATTGCTGTTTTCCGTTTACAAACTGGAATGTCTAGTTTTGAAAAAAGGGAGGTTAGACGTGTTGGCTTAAAGAATATAACACCAAGCTTACCTCACCGGCCACAATTAAAACAACAGGCTCACGTTTCTTCATATTATCTTTCATAATATGTAAACCTATATTCTTTTTCGACATGTAATGCGTGTAGACAGCTCTAATCACTGAGTTTCACTACACGACACTGGAGCTGGTTGTGAGAGAACAAAAACATGGTAGCAATGCCCAAACTCAATCCTGCTCTGGAAATTCCTGCCAAACTGTTTATACTCAGGAAAAGTGGAGAAGGAGGACAGCGCTAATGTTGTAATCTTAGCAACAATAGCGGTTCTGTGTGTGTAAAACAATGAGAATGGCTATAAGCATACGGCCAAGATTTCTTTTGATTGCACTCCAGGCTCAAAGTGATCCGAAATGGCTGTGAAAACAAACAGTGCTACTGAGGCCAAAAGATGAGATGACCCCCTCTCTATGTGTGAATAAACAAGAGTGAAGGGTCATGCAACAGCCGCTATGGGGAGCAGGCAGACAGTGAGACAGACACTAGAGGGATTGATAGAGACTGGACTATAAAATGAATAGGGGAAAAATATAATCCAGTATGTTTGTGGGATGTATACTAGTATGTAAAAGGGTAACAGTTATCATCTTAAAGGACCATATTAGGTTCTTTTCTGATCTTTGTTATGGTGTTTTTCCTCATCATAAACATGCCTGGAGTGGTGTTTTGTTTCATTCACATATGTTTAACACCCAAACTCTGCATATTTAGGCTGAGTTCTTCTCTCGAACTGAAAACATTCCACATTGTGATGTCATGTGGTAATACAAGAAATGCTTCACTGTGTTTTTAAACGTCACACACCTTTACTTAAATCATTTGGATGAAGTTCAAAAGTAGGTGTTAACTTGAAAACTTCCACAATATAGGATAGAAAATTCAAAAACGTTTCATATTTATTGTCCCACCACTTATTAAAAAAGAGAAATAATGCAAAATAAACTATTTTAAATGTAAAATTCAGTTGAAAGTACATTATATGAATGTTCTGCTGGAGGTCTACCACCTCATTGTCTCCATGGAGATGTTATTGCTTTGCTTGGAATGATCCATAGTATGAAATGTATCTGTCTTCATGACAAATACGAGCAGGTGACATCACTAGGCTTACAGGTTAAATCTGTGGAGGAGTGACCCCGCTCACAGTAAGAAGAATAAATGTTTTGTATGTACTTTTTGCAGTAACACATGTACTTGGTGCAGGACGGGTAAGTTTAATTTTAACTTAACTTTTAACTGCAGAACAAGCAATAACAAGCAAGTGACAGACCCTCCTCCAGAAAAGTTATATAATGCATCTTAAAAAACAATGCATATATTAGTATAATTTAGTAATTTAGTAATTTAGTAATTTAGATTTTCAGGCACACTTTTACATTGCTACTGCCTTTACCAACCTACTACTCACATACAGCCTCCCAATTTGAAGGCTTTTTGAATACTGTTTTCTGATTATATGAAAATTAAGTGTGTATTAAATGTAAAGAGGTTTATGATATCCCAAAGCTATAACAAAAACAAGACCTTTGATTCTTATTTTCTGCTGGGACACAATACAAACTTACAAATGCCCATTATTAGAAGTGCAATTCTTAACAAAAGCTCTCTCTTAACACTTCTAATGATTAAAGTGTGGGTTAGTCCCTATGGTGTTACCAGCCAGTCCTATAATGCCTCACAGGACCTCTACTTTTTACATGTTATTGACAGCTGTCACAACATGTACCTTTGTATTCAGGTTTGTTTTCAAGGGCTGTAGAAAGAAATCTACTCGGAAAGGTGTTGATCCGTGACTCAAGATCAGATTCAAGCACTCTGTCTAGACACCAGCCACAATGAACTCATCCACAGACATGTTCCTTCTTAATTTGGCTCTCTCCCTAGTCTTTACTATATTACAATTTGGCCTATTTACAAATATATTTAAAGTGCAGCTGTCTGTCGGGTTGACTGTCTTATGAGATGGTTGTGTCAGAGTGAGGTGTGGCTGGCTGTTGGCACTAGCAGTAAAAAGAGGACAAGTTGATGAAATAATTGAAGGAGCAGATGTCAACACAGTAAAGGGTTCTCTTTATATGTTATTGGTTGGACCGAGTTAACCATGAAACGAGAAGAGAATAACCTAATATTTAATTAAAGTCTATATGGTTTTTCTTTTTCAGAATAGCATCAATAGTGGGAGTATTATTCAGTCAGATTGGCTTGATATGTGTTGATATTCACACCAAAACTGTAACTAAACCAGAACTAGACTCAAAAATCTTGACAAGACCAAATCCAAATTAAAATGGGCTCTATTTAAGACAAGCTGTGACATTAGTTCATATAGATTATTATTGATTATTTTACATGTGGATCTAATTTCATTTTTTTAAATAAATCAATTTGAACATTTCGTTTTCATTGTAGATTTGATAAGAACAGAGGAATAGGCAGCGGCCCTTGCCCTCCATCTGAGATTTTGAATACATTTTGCAGTGTGCACCTGTTACCAAGAAATGTGGTAACTTTCATTACTTTAAGTTGACGTATTCACTCATTTATTTACATACAGAAATTAACCTTGCACCAAACTACGACCATTTTCGATTTTTAGACACACAATCTTCTACTATAGTTCTTATGAAATTATGTAGCTATGATACAAAGCTTCTCATTGTAAAAGTGCACAGTTAACAATGAATTTAATGATTAAATGTGCCCCTATAGAAAACAGCTTTCACTAGTCCTATTTCTACCATGTCATAAGCAAAACAAGGGTGTATACAAATAGATTATGAGTGAGTGCTCCAGTTAAGACAAGACCATGTCATGCTGTCCTCATTATAAACCTATTATGTTCTTGATTGTGAAACAAAGGTGCACAATGATGGTGTGAGACCTCTTACTGAATGAGACTTTGCTGTAACTCAGTGTTCACTCAATTAGTAAACAGATCTTCCATTCAAGGTCTACGCGCAGCCCCGATTCTCATTTTCCAAAATCCGCCACACCCCCTCCTTCTGCTCTGTGGCGTCCTACATAGACTCCCCCTAGCCTCCTCTTGCATCCCGTGGACCGCATGCCCTGCACCCACCGCGCACACACCCATCTTGATTGTGATTGACAGTGTCTTTGTTCCATTGTTGCTGAGCTGTCGCCTCTGATGAAGACACATATAGTGAGTATGCACATAAACAGCGCGTACGCAGACGTTAGCGCGTATGCAAAAGTTAGTCACTGTCCAGTATCACTACATAGCCTCTGCAATGTTGCTAGAAGATTAGAAGTAGTGAAAGCGGTCTTATCAAACCCCTATCTGGACTAAGGGGTAGTGGTAAAGGGGGCCAGCTGGCGAGGGGAGTCTCAGTGCGGTGTTTAGTACGTCTGGGTAGATTGTCACTGGAGTTCACCCCTCCTCGTGGATGGGAACCAGGTCACATTCTCTCACATGGTACAAAGCGGGGTGTATGCGAGCAGGCTGGGGGTTCAAGGGAGGAGCAGGCCATGACCTCTTTATATTCATCAACACAACACTAACTTGGGCCATGCACTTGAAGAATAAACAAAATATTTCGCAAAAAATCATGAAATATACCCAAAAATGGGCAGTTCACGGTAAGGAATTTTCTGTTTGGCTGGTAAAATGACACAGAGATAATGATTAAAGCTACCACTTGTATTCCTCGTCCTTATCTCAGACCATTGAGGACACATTCCCATACACCCGGTAGCTCTGCTTGTCAACAGGTTGGTAGTGAGGCAATGGTATAGGAAAATATCGACCCCTATTGGCCACTGCCTGCTATTGCTATGAGAAAACAGCTGTGGGGGCAAATCAGGGTGTTTATTTCTTCAATCAGATACGGAATTAAAAAATAAAACAAACAAACAAAAAAACAACTTTGATTTTGCATATTCAAAAATAAAGATACAACTTAAATCATCCACAGATCGAAATATCATTCACCCAGGTCTAACAATTAAGCACAATTAATGATGCAAAATAAGCCATAATCTTTCCAGGTCACTTTACAGGCACTACTTATGACGCTGTATATACAGTTACAGTTCTGTATAGCTCAGTATAGTCCAGATCTTTGTTATTCTTGTGCTCTATTTGAGTCCATAGTTTTAAAAAGTCCAAGATTTTTCTGTTGCTGCTGTAGTCCAATATGTGACCTCATACTGCAATACTTACAATAACACTAGTAACACTGTGCAGCCATTACGTAATAAAGCATCACTTGAGGGATCTAAGCAAGTTCAGTTAGTTTGAAGTCTACAAAATACTACTTCAACACTTTTGAACACTATTAATACTGACTGAAATCACTGTAAAGTAATACAATCATGTAAACCAATTCGAAATGATAAACAGAGGAAATTCAGAACCTATAACTTATTTATAGTTACTTATACATATGTACACCATGGCCTTAAGTTGGGACTAATATTTGTATACTTTTTGTGCAAAAGATTAGCATGTTTAGTTTGAGGTTTATGATAAGGGACACAGCATGTGGTTAAGCAATGCGATTACTATAATTAATAGTAATTACATTTATTTTTTGCTTAGTATGTGACTTTAGGTGTTTAAATTTTACTGCATCACGTGTTCTTTATTTTTCTATGGGCCCATACTATATATAATAGTATGCAGTGTTGTGCAATTGTGCATGATTTCTCAAAGCTTATCATGGTTACTTTTTCAACTAAAAGGCACATTGTTCACTTGTCTTAATAACCATAGTCTACCTGCTTATCCCAAGCCATGACCATAAAAAGGCAGTAGGCGGACCTGGCGACAGCTGGCATCAGAGAGAGATAGCGGTATAGCTCTTCAGTTGGGGGAGATAGTGCGCCTCCGGAGGCAGCTGCAGGTCAGGCACTTGAGGATGCTCATGGTGATGTGCATGAGGGGCCCAAAGTTGAAGAGCAGATTGTAGAAGGTGTTGACAGACAGCCCCCCGGTCTCATCTGCATACTTTAAGGCCACAATCGGAGTATACAAACTGTTGGTCAGGTTCCTGAACCGTGGACTGCTCGACTCAATGACTTTCTTAGTGCACTGGAAGATGAGAGGGTTTTGTTAGTACAGTACTGCCTCAACAGTGATTGAGTGAAACATATAACATATCAATGCTCCCATGTTCATCTGTTTATGAGGTAACATGCTACATTTTTACTTCCCTATATTTTTTCTACTCTAATTATTTAGATGTTAATTACAATTCTATTTACCAATTGTTATTAAGGAGTGTTTTATATTGTTGTTGTGTATGTCAAGTTAATTTCTTTGTGGATTAATGAAGTTGTTTAAATCCATATTCTCTCTGTATCTCTAAATAGGATTATTATGCATTTATTACAACATAAGCATTTCATTTGGTGTGTGCTGTTAGCGTAGGGTACACTGTATACAGGATTTTACAAGAATGTTTTCTTACTTTGGCTATGTCTTCTGGTGTTTGGCCCATGGCTTCAAATATATCTATCGAAGAGGGCAGATAAACGTCTTTAAAATATCGAACTGTATCTGCATCTGCTCCTGGATACTCCATCTTAGCCACGTCATCCATCATCTTTGTCTCAAACTCTGTGTGCACTGGTCCAGGCTCGATCATGGACACCCTGGAGGTGGTCAAATTAAAATGTTACCTATGTATATGGTAAATTAAGTTAATGTGAACACAATGGAGAGAAGTGCTTACCGAACATTGAATTTCATCAGCTGTACAGCCATACTCTCACAAAAACCCTCCATAGCAAACTTGGAGGCTGTATAAACATCATTGAAGACCACTCCTGAAAAGAGTTTTGTAAAATCATTATAATATTTGTTGAATTACATTAATTAAGCATAACATTATAACAACATTGGCTACATTCACACTGCAGGTCCAATCAGATTTTTTGTCCGAATGTGACCTGAATCTGATATTTTCATGTCAGTGTGAACAGGCTGAATCTGATTTTTTCAAATGCGACCCAAACTACTTTCATATGTGGAAATAAATCAGATTTTAATCTGATCTTTTGCAGTGTGAACACATCTGCAAAACATCAGTGCTTTAAGGGCCTTGAAGATGGAAAAGTGCTATATAAAAATGTGACCATTTACCATTTACCATTTTTTAAGAAAGAAAGTGTGACAAAGACAAAATATCAACTCTTGCCTGTTTCTGCAGAAAAGGAGACAATAGGAAATAGGAAAGAAAATAACAGGCTAGCACAACTCCAGTTGTGTCCTCTTCTGCAAATCAGGACACTTCAAGGCTATTGGGTTCACACATGAAATCTGATCAAAGTCACATTTTATTTGCAATGTGAAAAGCCCCTCCCAAAAAATCTGATTTGGGAAAAAATCAGAATTGAGCCTCTAGACCTACAGTGTGACCGTAGCCATGGTGACGAGGCAGAAGAGTATTCTTGTGGATGGAGCTGAATAATAGATACAGCAGCAGCATAATAACCACCAGTAATAGTCAAGTTTTTAAATTACTGGTAATGCTTAAGAAGTGTGTATTCTCAGTTGCTCTTGCATGTGTGAATGACAAATAAAGAACCTTGAACTAAAAAAAACTAATCAATTAAACATGTATATACCTTGGAGCCCCATGACACTGCTCATGACAACGATGTGCCCTGAACGTCTCTTTTTCATGTCAGGCATCACTTCTTTAATCATTCGGACCACACCAAAGAAGTTGGTTTCAAAAACTCTCTTCATCTCCTCTATGGTGATGCTTTCCAATGGTCCAAGCAAGCCTACACCAGCATTATTGACTACAAAAGATATAAAATATTATATTAATTACAATCAAAGGTCACTCAATTATTAAGAAAAGTGTGTTTCTTTTGACTACCACAAGGGGTCAGCAAGTAACAACAGTGATTGCAGTGATGTAACATGAGCACACAAATGAATGAGTCTTGTGTAATGGGGTAAAAGGTTCAGTGGGATACAAATTATGTCTTAGTTTCATCAACAAACAGACGTGATTATGTTGTTGCAAGTGTATAAGCTGCTTCAAAATGTGTCATGAATTGCTGTGATTGTGATTAAATAACCACAAGGCCTAACACAATACTTACTTTGTTAACATATCATTCTATAAAGGAAAGATGTGGCAATATTTTAGCTGAATATTTTTTGTGTGTACATTTTCTTTGCACCAATGAGGATTTTTTTTTTAAATTGTTGCAGAACATGCTTTTACAGATATTTACAAAGACATAAAGGAAAGGGTTCATTCTGCTTTATCGTCATATTTAGCTTTTGTTGCATAAGGTAGTTTCCGTATATGAATGTTGTGTTATTTTTCTGTATCAACAATATATCAGACTGCATGTGTTATAATGACAGGTCTAATAAGCACACAGTTCAGTACAGTGTATCTTGTGACAACTTGTGGGAGCTTGCCTCTACTTGTGGGTACACTTACTTAAGATGTCGATGTGGCGGTCTTTAACGCTGTTGATACAGTTTTTGACAGACTCATCGCTGCACACGTCCAGAGGGAGCAGAGTCAGAGTTTTCCCAAATGCATCACCAGCCGCCTCCACCAGTTTGTCTTTCTTTCTCAGGTCCCTCATAGTGGCAATAACTGACAAAGACAAATACAACTTTTTTTTATAACAAGCTTATGACATGCAGACATCTGTGGTTTTGACACTTTCAAGCTCTTCTGATCGGTTTGCATATTGTTAAGGCAAAACCCTCCACATTTATCAGCTAAAGAAGGCTTAGATGTTGTTTGTACGTCTTTGTTCCTATAGTTTAAAGCATTAGTTGTGAAAGGAAAAGCCCAGTTTCTTCAGTGAAGTGTGACACATGGGACAGTGAAACCTGATCACTGCAAAGTGCCACAGTGTGTCTCCAGTGCACTGTGGTGGTATGTGCTCAGAGCCAGAGGGGCGCAGGTCAGACTTCCTAGAAGTCGCCTTAGTTTAAGAGCACTGCACTAATAACCTGGTCTTTGAACTTCACACCAGGATCAGGGCCAGTCTGCACAACACAGTCATCTATCAGGAACAGAACCTGTGGCTATCAGCTAGCAATGACCTGGCTGTATTGAGCTCTGTCTGCTAACTGTCACTATCTCTCAGGGAACCAGATAGGGCTGTTGCATAATAGCTGCACTGGCCATTATTACATATGTTGGTTGTAGATAGTCTTACACCTATTTCCTTTGTAAACAGGATGAGCAGAGAAGACACATTGTTCCCCACTGCAAGTATTTAAAGAAACATACAATGTGGAGTACAGCTGTGCATGGAACTTGTTCACGTATAATGTTGCCTAATAAAATCTAATGAAGTTTAATCTTACGATTAACAAATGGTGTGTCTGTGAAGCAACAAAGAGATTTACGCATTTGGTTGAGACTTGAACAAGAGGCCCATTGTTCCTCGACTCCTTCAGGAATTGCTCCTGGGCAGCTTTATGCATTCTTGAAAGAGCCACATTGCAGCACATTCAAGAAAGTATTCTGGGGGTTTAGTGCTTGCTTCAGCAACTCTGCAGAGTTTTCCACTAAGACCACTTACTTCTACATCAATAATTATTCACTCTGGATATGGTTATCTTCCTTTTAATGGCAGCTCATATACAATAAGAAAATGGATTCATAGGGAAGGTCAAAACCCATGACATGACATGGTTTTAAGTCCAGGTGACAGTATTGACGTTTGGGACGCTGCAGAGGAGGCGCTCTGAGCAAATCTGTCAGAGTGAGTACATCCCAACTCTAATGAGCACCAATGAAGACTTAAAACCAGGCCCTGGTTCACAGTGAACCCTCGCTTGTACAGGTCTCAAACTTTGTCCCCCTTTCAACACTCTGCGCTCTGAGGGACTATAGCCACATTAGACACGGTACTAAACCGGAGCGGGCGGTCTACAATTCAGGTCCATAAAAGGGGGCTTTGTGCGGGAGAAGTCACTTGAAAGAGAACTGACAAGCCTCCTTTTATGATTCCGCCTGCGAGCGAGCGGGCATCCTCGTAGAGCAGGAGCCTGGAAGTTTTCTTTCAAGTAATAATTCAACAAAAAGAGTTTACAAATGTTGATGATCTGAGCTGTCTTACTGAGGTTAACTGACTGAATGACAAAGACTTCCATGCGCGTATCAGAAAATGGATAGCTGCGCAAAACACAGGCGAAGTACACTAGTGTGCGTATAAGAGGCATGGTGCAATTAACCTTTACCTTTGCGCAGAAAGTAAACATGGAGAGGGTCTGCAAACACCAGTGAGTTCGAGACTAATTTCAGAATCAACGCAAAAGAAAGCGCTTTTACCATGGTAACGCTTCTTTTCATCTCTGGCCAGCGTGACTGCGATCCGTAACCCGATGCCGGAGGAGCAGCCGGTGATCAGCACAACTTTCTGCCCGCTGTTCGCCATGATTTATCCAGATAGGCGATGTGTTTCCAGCGGCCTCTGCACCGGATGGTCGCTGCTGAGGGAGCTACTGTTCCCTGGACTTTAAAAAACTAAAGCGGATCATGCAGCCACTGGGCCATGTGAGCGCCTAATTCAGTCACATGGTTTATAAAAGCAACATCCAAAGCGACACGGCTTCGACACCTCTGCAGACCACGTTTTCGCGTTGATAAGTGTCGCAGCTTGGCAAACAGGAAAAATCTTTAAAATATGTTGCACTGCGTGCGTGCGCGTACGTGCGTGTCACAAAGGGGCAGTGCTTAGTCTGTTGTGTGTCTGAGGTTAGAGATTCTGACTCTGAATTTAGACCTACTCTATGGCCACTGTCCGGGCTATTCTTCCATGGGAGGTCTGATCTAATTCTCATTATGTCCCATCCAATATATTTACAGAATGAAATGGTTGTACGACATTAACCATATTCTGTAGGCCTTATCATAGTTGTTAATCTTTATTATTTTATCTTATTTAAATGTGTTCTTACAGTCACAGTCCAAACATTTTGTATCTATAAAGACCATCACTCACTTTTCATTGAAAGCTGGCGGTGCAATGCGTTGCATTACACTGCCATCTCCTGGTAAGAAGCGGAAGCAACATAAAATGTCATCATGGGCTCCAGTACACAGTCATTTAAAACAATGCATTGCATTACTTGATTGAAAATTAAACCAGTTCAGTCTGGTCACATGTTTACTAGGTACTGCACTCAAAACATGTAACTGTTATGAGGATGATGTAATGGGTTGATGTTGTCAGAGGTCAAAGTGCACCTGATAAGGTCGAAGTGTTTCTTTTAAAAAGGCCAAAGTACATGTGTTAAATATAATGTAATTTATAATTATACAGTTGTATACAGATTGCATAATATCACATATTTGAGGAAGTAAAATCAAAATAAACAATTGCAGATCCTTATTTATAAGATTCACAGTGTTTTGATGAAACTGAAATCTGATTTCTTAACTATATTTTTTATTAAGTAGTATATTTAGAACAGAAGTGAGACCACTGGAAGTAGAAAGAAGAAGGGGAGACTGTATTTTTCAAAAGCTTTGAAATCAAACTGTCCCAGTCAAAATAGTTGTATTTTATTTACTATTTTGTGTTCCCAAAGTGGAGCTGTTGCGATTAGGTTCTTGAGCTGTTCTCTTCACACATCATTCATTCATCTTACCATTCACAGTGGACAAGAATAATTTTATACTTTGTGTAATGTGAACAAAACACACCCCTGCTTAGTACCTGTTCAGTTTAAAGTTCTCTCACTACTTTACTGTAAGGTGAACAGGAGTCAATTATGGCGAGCTGTGTTCCTCTGTCGTTTCTCCAGGTGTAGACATGGGACAGCGATAGAGAAGTTGCTGGACATTCAGAAGCCCTGAACTACTCCCATGGAATTTCAAAATATTTGGTCTCAACATACAAAGAACTGAAGACAGAGACCAGAGGAGGAGGAAATGCAGGTCCATGCATGCTTTTCTATACAATAACCTTTCACGCTTTCAGACTACACCCACAATGCTATTTCTTGAAACAATTTAACATTTTCACATTTTAACATGTTCATTCTCAATAGTTTACTTTGTATAAACTTTCTGAAGACTGTTTTTTTTTTTTTTTTTTTTTTTTTACAATAATCCCACACTAAAGAACTTTACTGTATGTCTCCCAATTTGCATAGCATCTTCTCAAACTGACCCCTTGTGGTCATAACTGGTCTTTACTCAAAATGTTCCTAGTCTATTACATTAAGACCATGATCAAAACAGCTGTAAAATATATTAATATTATAATATAATAATATTCAAATGAAATAATACACAAGAATATGTTTGGCAATTCTACTGCATTTGTAATTGCCTAAAATGGTTTAAAATATTGTGCCAACTGCGGCCAATATTGAAAGCCTGAAAGGAGCACAATGTAACTTTTCTTCCTGCTTGTCTCAACGGAGATATCTGGTTTGCCTGGTATGTTCCACATTATTGCATTAAACATATCTATCTCCCTTGAACAAGCAGGTGTAACTACCATGCCAAGTTGGTTGATCAGAGCCGTGGAGAGAGTAAAAAATGATTTGTGCAATGTACTTTTGCCAATTAAAACACCTGACATTTAATAAATGCAAGATAGGCCAGTTTAATGCCAAATTCTGAAACCTTCAAGGCAAAATAAAAACATCTCTATGGAGACAAGCAGGCACCAAACTCCAAAATTTTTGCATAGTGCACCTTGATGAATGAATTGCAAATTGTACATTGTATTAAAAATGTGTTGTGTCCATGACAGACTGGAATGTTTGACGCTTTGTACTCTTTTGTGTGGAGAAGGTGTGGAATGCAAACTTCATCTGAAAAGAAGAAAAAAAAAAAGACGCGGGGGGTCTAGTCGAAAACTAAAAAGAAAAATTCATCTAAAATGGTACAAGGACTCGGAAATGCGATAGCTTAGAAGTGTTTTTAAAGTGAGTGAGAAACAGCTTTAGGAAGAGTTAGTGCTTAAAAGTAATAAGTGGGTTTGAGACAGAGACAAAATGAAGTACGAATCTGGTGGCAGCTGCAGACCACACACAATGGGCACTTCACAAAGAGAGCTTTCAGAAATAGCTGACCAGTGACCACCATAAAATGTCATTTAGACTTTTCAGGAATGCACTGAAAACACTGAATTCAGGCCATAACATGTAACTACTACTCAGTATTCTCAAGGTCTTTCAAAATTGTTGAAGAGAGTGAAAGGATAGTTAAAGGTGCCAAACCAGACCAAGTTACAGGTCAAAATCTGTGGAAAGACAACCGTGCACACAATTTTTGAGCTATAAAAGCACTTGAAATGTAATAAATATAAATAGAGCTGTTTAATGTCATACTGTGGAACATTCTAGACAGAGCAATGTTATATCCAAGGAAACAAGCAGCGACAGACCCCCTACCAAAACTTACATAGTGTACCTTCAAGTTCAATTATAAAAATAATACACTACTAACACTTATTTTATTTATTTAAAGTGGGATGCTTTTAAAAGGCAATGCATGCTACTTTTTGCAACAGGCCTACAACATGTGCACTGATTCTGAAGTAAAGGTATTTTTATAGTTTAAATATTTCTTCTTCCACTTGGGTATTATATAATTGTTCAATAAATCAGTTTGTCAGTTGTTTTTAATTAGTTTACTATTTCTGTCAGTGAAGCTTGGAGTGCAGTGTTATTTTGAGTGTGTCTGCTGCCCGAGTGTATTTAGTCTATTTGTTTGAGCAGGTCATTTAACAGACATGGTCCTTAGATGTTAATTAGCTTAGTCTACCCCCATCTCTAATGATTATAATTATCACTAGACTGGCAGTTCCCCTTTCGCTCCAAAATGGAAACATGCAGAAAATTAAAGCGAGAGTTCACATATCAGGTTATGGTCAATGTAGCGTAGTGAGGTTTAGCAGCTGATAATGTGGGACAACATCCTGGGTTTCCTCCACGTTTTTTCGCTATAGAATATTATCTTACTTCCTGAGCATGTCTCAAAGGGGCCTGTTGAAATACTTGCTATAATTGATGATAGAGTAGAGAACATAAGTGATGAAATTCTACGCATCAGTTTAGTGTGAGTTTCTGAACTGAAGTCTTCATATACAGATCTACAGATTAGCCTTACAAATGCAATAGAAAAATGCATTTTTTTCTGAATACTCTCCGTCATGTTTACGTGGTGCAGACAGCTGAGAGGGGCCTAGTCAGTTTCAGTGAAAGATATATGAAAAACACAACTTTTAAAATTTGAATGTGGTGTTACATACATGAGTGAGTAACTTAAGGAGACTGTCTTTTCTTGTAGTCATTGTAAATATGATATTGACCAACTTGCCCTTATTTTAAAGTGTCACAAACTGGACGTTTTTCTATACAAAAGACTGAGACACTCCAAGCAGGTAACACAGTTGTTCAAAGTCATCAAAATCTGTCTTTTGGGGGGATGTTGTTTGGACAAAAATACATGTTACGAAATCTAATGATTGTTTGCATATTTGACTTGCAGACCACAGTTGTTACATAACAGACCCTTTGCCTATGACTTCTGATGTACCATGCCCACAGGTAACTGCCGAACACAAGAGGTGATATCCCTTCTTGAACTCATAAATCTTAACACACAAGAAGAAAGACACAGCTACTTTAAACTTCCCTTTATATTTTTGCTGCTCCCGGTTCTGTGGTCCTGTCCAAGCACGTTCTACTACGGGATGGACTTAAGGAGTGAGAGTAATTTACAAGGCTGTCACAGAGTCGACTAGCCCATATTTATTAGTGCTGAAGCATGATCAAACCCTTCAGAGCTCTGATTGATGTCAGTCAAAACAAAGTTATAAAACGATTGAAAATAATTGATTGAAAGAATTTAAATACTTTCCAGCTCTATTTCTTTGTATCATCTTAGAGTGAAAAGAGCGATATGATTTATATATTACAAAACTGTCCAAAGTCCAAGTTCATAATGCAAAGAATCTCACACTTTCATATACTACAAATGCTTTAAAATAGTGGTGGAAGAAGTACTCAAATTTGTTACTTAAGTAAAAGTTCAGATAACAGAGCAAAAAAAAATACTCATGTAAAAGTATCATATGAAAAAAGTCAACTTAAGTAAAAGTATTAAAGTAACTATTTTCATCTACAGTAATACAATATACTTTCTATCCAGTTCAGAGGTGCAGTGGAGTAGAAAGGAGAAATACTTGCTCTCAAATGTAATGAAGTAAATGTAAAAAGAGAGTGTAGCATATTAGTTTATATCCACATTCATTCATCCTTCTGACCTTTGAAAATGCCCATAAATAAAAATGTGGATGTTTCTTTTCTGAGGTTTTACTTGAGACTTCTGTCGTGGCTGAAAGGGCTGAAGATAAATGTACTACCCCTAAGTCCAGTGTTTGGAAGAGGTATATAACACATGCTGTAGAAATATTTCTCACTGGGCGCTCAGACTAGCCACTGGACTCTTAGTAACTATCTGCTAAAAACTTAGAGGAATGCACTGCTGATTCTCGTACAGAGGGCAGGTGACAGGGGTCAGGGGGCTCATGTTTACTCAACGCATCAACTGTAATTGTCCAGCTCGGCTTTCTGTAATTTTGCTTTTGGAGACTTTTTCATGAAGCGTGTTTCTTGCTCTTCTGATGATGGCAGGCTCCTCTCCTTTGAGAAATTAAAGTTTGGCTGTGGTTCCCTGTATGTACTTAGCATTTTTAGCCCTTAGTCTTGCACAAAAGCCTGTTCAAGCTTGGACTCAAAACATCGTCCTTGGTGATTTTCCAATTAGACAGTTTAACTCTCTAAGCAAGTCTCAACCATATACCTGCATCTTTCAGAATAAATTAGGTTTCTTATGAAAATGATTGCATTCATACTGTTATTTGTGTATTAGTTAACTTCTCTACTTCTTCAATAAGTGATTATTTTCTTTCCTACTACTCCAGAGTCAAACGTTTAAAGAATCTGAATGTTTCAGGTCAATTACTTGATCATTTAGTCCATTTAACAAAGAGAAATGTGACTGGAAGTGAACAGAATGATGTAAAGATCAAATGTGTAGGGTAGCCAATCTGACAGATGTCTGTGACTCTTGATGTGGGGAGATCAGCATTATGACCCTGTCAATCTGAAATCTGTCTGGGACTGTCAGACTGTCACTTATTTTCGCTTCAGTTCACTGTAAAGTTAATTCTACAGATGTCTTTACAACAGTAGTGGGGTCTGGTATAGTGATGTTTACTCGACTGCGATATTTAGGGAATAAAATAGAAAAGTGTAAAGCTGCAATGGTTTTTCGCTCAGAGGGCAATAATAATTGCCTCTAGGAAGTGAGAGTTGACAAATAATCCTGCGTAAAAGGTGATTTATGGGCTGCCCCGCTCGTCCCGGGACACGTATAGGAGGGAGGGGGCGGAGGTGGAGAGTAGAGGGAGGGAGGGATGCTGAGAGGGAGAAATTGAATGAGTGGGATAGAAGCGAGCGTGGAGTCCATCCATACCCAAGAAAAGTTCTGCAACAAGACCAACCAAGTGGAACTACACAGCACGCCTCTCCCTTTCCACGGATGGACGCTTAGCTCCTACCCAGTTTCACTTGTTCAACTAAGTTCAGCTTGGCGGAGTTCCCTCCGCGTCTGCGCCTCTGAAGATGGACAGTTTAATGAGAAGGAAAGGGCGCAGGAGGATACCGGTGCTACTGTACATCTTACTACACATAGTATCGACTCAAGCAGGTAACGTGTTTTGGAGTTCTGCATAAAAAAGAAACATAAGATAAGAGAAAAATAATAGGCCTAGTTAAGATGACGTTTACGCACGTTTTGCGTCGCTGTTAGCAAAGTGATTTGGGTGACTATAACGTGGTTTTGCGCTTATTAACTCTTTATTGAGGTTGAAATTTAATCAGTTAAGTCAATCCGAAATATCAAGCACATGCATCTATCAAGTTTTGTATTCGGCTCGTGCGCACCGAGTCAGACGGACGCGGTGATGTCATGTTAAAGTTTGCTTGTGACCGGCGGAGGTTTAATGCGAAAAGGTTTAACACTGGTTTGAGAACGAGGTCATGGGCTGAACACTGGACCAACTGAGTAGATTAAAATTCCTGTCATGGATCTGTTTAACGTGCCCTCTGCAGACATGCATGTTTTTTGAGAGATTATCACTAACACTCTTAAATGCTTATGTTGTAATTATTGTGCCATTGTTGAATATACCCTTGCAGGCTATAGATATTTGAGTGAAATTTGTTTTCCTATAACTATTACTACTTAATGCAGGTATGCCCAGACCTACTGCAATGCATCCTTATAGTTTAGACTTTCACAGGCTTCCATACCTTGTAGCTGTCACGTTTACTGCCTGATTTCCTCGCAGGTGCTGCTGTTTACGGTCTGGCCCTGATAGAAGACTAACCTTAGGCTACATCAGGGGCCGTTAAAAGTGCTTTACATTTACAATAATGACTCCACGCGCCGGCACTTTATAGCTGGCAGGAATTGGTTGTAGTCCAAGCGGCAGAAATAAAGCAGTAACTTCAGGAAATGAGCCAAGCGGCAGTTCAGTGATCACATCACACCCTGGACTCTAAAGCATCTTGTGAATGTCTGGATGCTGCAGATGTACAACAACTGCTGATGACGTGAAATCTGGAGATAACATTGAATTTTTTTAAAGTTAATTTACACCCTCTATTCATTGGCCTTAACACATTTGGTTGTGTCCCGTGCAGCATTTGGGAGTAGGGAGTGTATGTTTATATTGAATGCCTTATCATTTGAGTTGCATCACTTTTTCTCCTCCCTCTAGCTTGGTTCTTCCTCGGTTGTGTGCATAGAAACAGTGCAGTCAGTAGCCCCCTCACTAAGTCCTATTTGATCCATCCTTTTTTGCCAATCATACACAACAGTCTTCCCAAAGGACGCTGCCAAGCCTGCTCTTCTCTGATTCAGCTTCAAATTACAAGCAAATGAAAACACCAGGGGATGAGAACACAGTGGATGATTTGAACACTGCCCTTGCAAATTCCAGCTATGTTTTTGCGCATTCGTAATAGAGGCATTAAACATCAAGAGTGGAGAAGCTGATTGTGACTGTAAATCATTGTAAATATGTCATGTGTTTAACAGTTAGTGTCTAATATAAATGAATCAGTTAATGGCGTCACTCTGGGAACTTTAGTGTGCAACATCTGGCTTCCAGAGAAATACCCCCCTATCATTAGTTTTGTATCACTGATGAAGAGCTGCTCCTAGCTCATTAACTGTTTGTAAAGTAGATTTATTTATTTGTTAAAAGTCCTATATTATACAAAAAGTATTCTTGTGAGCTTTAAGCCATGTTAGAATGTTTCCTCTTAAAAAACATACCTGGAGTTGTGTTTTGTTTCATTCTCACATGTTTGACTAACCCTAATTATTAGTCTGTCTACATCTCCTAGCCTCAAAATGCTCTGTTCCACTTTGTGATGTCATGTATTGGTAATTTTCCAGTTAACAGCTACCTTTTACTTTTACTTCAGTAGATATCGACAAATCCAGGTCTGAAATGATCCAAATGATTCTAGTGAAGGTGTATGGAGTTTATAAACACAGTGGAGCACTTCCTGTATTACCACATGACATCACAAGGTGGAACAGACACATCCTAAATATGCAGGGTTTGTGTGTGAAACGTGTGAATGAAACAAAACACAACTCCAGGTATGTTTTTGATGAGGAAACAGCATTATAACAAAAAAAAACAGTATAATATGGGCCCTTTAAGATGGTATGAAATAAATGTTTTGAGTCAGTATGTTGTAAGTTAGATCCTTGCGTTGGTAACACCCCCGATGGTCTTTATGTGAAAGATGAATTGGTGACACTGAATTGCTCACAGTGACGGAAAGGGTGAGTGGATGGCTATCTGCGACTAATTGCTCACTCTCCATTGTGTACTCTGCCTGAAGGCCATAGTTACCACAAAAATGGGAAAAACTGATGAATGAAAAAGTGTTTGGATAAAAAATGGCAAGTTTGTAGAGCACAGTTCATGTACATGGCAATTCAAAGTGCTTTACAGAAGAAGAAAGCTTTACACAAATAGACTAATTATGACAGGATTGTTTGTAAATGAGAAAAGTGTAAATAGAATTCTTTCAGTCTTAAACAAAAACTAAACCTATAAAACCTGCATGGTCATTTCAAAAAGCACAATTCAATTTAATGCTAGACTAATAGACTAATTTTCATATAGACAAAATAAAATAAACAAGAAATTCAAAGGCATAGACCACATGCAAAAACAAAAACATGCTCTTAATTGGACTTTTCTCAACGCCTGATGCTGTCACAGGCTGTTAGCAGGGAGAGAGGGAGACAGACAGTGGTGTGCAGAGGGTGTGCCTTTGTGTATTGTTTTGATGCTTTGATTCTGCAGCTTCGTACAAGCTATAATAGAAGCCCCTAGTGTTATGTCTGAGAGGCTAAGTGAGGGCTGCTGTATCTAATGGGCTGAGTCAAGTGCTGTAATATCAGACTGGAGATGAGGAAGTTTAGATGTACACATATAGAAGTACAAAACATGTTATTCTCTAACTTTGATTTATTTATATATTTTTGCATGTCACAGGAACTGACACTATTTTCTGCTTGTCTCCATGGAGATGTTATTTCTGTCTACAATACAGCATTAAACATATCAATCTATTTCACTACAGGTGCTTTTGCTCAGAAATACTTTAAAAAACTTGCATTCATATTGTGAGTGGAGTCGCCTCGCCACAGAATTGACCTGTAACTTGATCTGATGGCATCATCTTGTTCTCTCCATGGAGATAACTGTGTTTAATACCATATTGTGTAATATTCCAGGCCCACCAATAACCTCCCAACCAGGTTGGCATTACCTAGTGCCTCTGCTCAATTTCATTTGTCTCCTGTGACTAGGTCAGGAATACACTAGATACACTAGGAATACACCAGACGGTTTGCAAAAACCCTGGAAGTGCAAGTGTGGGCACCAGCCAATCAGCGAAGAGCCGTACATTCTGTGTTGGCAACAATTCTTGAGAATGAGGATTTAAAGCTGGAGAAAAGAGAATGTTTGGTGAATTTTATCAAAGACATTATTCCCCTTCTTTCTATGGGATTTGGGAAAAGTGTAATATACCAGTTAGCCCCCTTAGGAGCGGATTACATATGACATGACCAAATAGCAGTGATTGGTTAAATAAACAAAAGTACCCGCCTACCGTCGAGCGAACGAATCCTAATGCTGCGAGGTCCACGAAGTGAAATAGGCAGATGAATCAGGCTAATAACCTCCACCAGAAAAGTTACACAGTGTATCTTTAAAATGCAAAGGATCAAATTTCACATAATCAGAATGCATACACATTAACTGAAAGTCTAACTGAAGAAGAAGGCTTAGTGAGATTGCAGACATAAATGTTTCTAAATATATAGCAGAATTTACCTTAAAAAAAGCTGACATAAAAAGTCACTGTCTAGCTCAATTATTGTGTACAAAAGAAATGTGCTTCTATGCAATTTTACACCATTCATCTCCTCTGTACTTCCCCTCATTAGGCGAAAAGTCGACAAGTCTGTGGCTTATATCACTGACCTAATTAAAATAATCCATAAATTAGATGAAAGTCAAGAAGAAGAAGGAGAAAGTGTGAATTTGTAATGAGCCAAAACTGCTGCGGATTTTTGTGTTTCCTTTTGCATGTTAAGTCTTGTTGGCTATACCTCTTCCTGTCAGGATAACTCAGGCATAAAGCTCTCGTATTTCCTCTTCCCTCCAGAAATGGCCCCATAAAATGTATTACATCCTTTATTAGCCCTTGTCAGCGTGTCTGCATGTCAAGGTTTAACTCACAAATCCAAATAGAATATAGGATGATTTTGTCAATTTCTGATGCAGTTGTTTTTAATTCCCAGATTTCTTTCTCTAATGGGGTGTTCTGAAGAGTATGCCAAAATTATTCACATGTTTTGGCTGTTTAGTTACAAAGTTGGAGTTGTGCATGTGAGTTCTGGGGATAGGTTTCTGGCTTGGTCTAAATAATTTTATAGATGAAGCTATCAAGTCAGCCAAGTGGAAGATTAATGCTCTTGTTTCATACACCCTGCTGTCACCCAAGCATTCATTTTATTCCATAATAATCTCACTAATCTTAATTACATAGTGCTCATTGGTGGACTGATGTTCTTCCATTGAAATTCACTGCAACGGTTTTGGGTGTGGGGTTGTCCAAAAAGCAATACCCAGATGTAATCAAGAAGTATCAAAACTAGATATTAGTTTTAATAGTCTTGATCAGTAACATTAATCCAAAGGGTAATATTAATCAATACATTCTTATTCTGTGTTGAAAATGATCATGTAGGGTTTGCATCATGTATAAAGCCTTTGTCATGAGAAGTTACTTTATTATTTGGAGTAACACTAGTTTGAGGTCATAGGATTCACAGAGTCCACTTCTGAATATTCTTCTCCCCAAAATAACTGATGATTGACAGTTCAGCTATTTTTAGCTTTCAGTATTATACCATTACTTTGCATTTATAATGGCTGTGCAATTTATCAAAGTTCAGTTGAATCGAGATCTAATTATTTCCAAACATCAAAGATAAACTTGGATGTTTTTATTCAAGAGGTTCTGTAAAAAGCACAAGTTCAATCTTTGGAGGAAGAAATGTGAAGAAATGCATTTTATTTTATTTGTGGTTAATCTGACCTCAGCAGAATGTGGGCCTTACTCGATAATGTAAAAACGGGCAAGGTCAAACCCAAGGCACACCGACTGAAAATATTAAAAGTCCTTTAATACTTAGGGAGAGATTCAATAAAGCACTCTATCTCTTTTTTTAAAAAGTCTGATTATTGTTTATACTCACGAAATTAATATTGAAAATTGCCTGAAGTTAAATCTCTGGCTGCATATTGGGGCGAAATTCCCCTGTTTTTGTAGCAGCCCTGGACAGTGTGTGCTATGGAGTGAGAGTGTAGGAGGCGTGAGTCATGAATGCTGTCAGTGGAGACATTTAGACATAGAACACAGTGCGTGCATGTCTGGAGATGGCCCGTGGGCTGAAGGAGGCTGGGGGAGGCTGGAGGACTACACAGATGGAGCGTGCGGTGTGCAAAAGGGATAAAACAGCATATGTGATCGCGAGTGGGCGCTGCTCTCCTCTCTTCTGTCAGGTTGCCACAGTCTGGGCACACACAGCTGTCTCCTGGAATATTGAGAAAAAAGTAGCACAGCGCCTCATGTCATGTACACCATTACGCACCTGCCGCACCTGTCAACTCTCACACAACCATGTGAGCTTTGATTGTCACGGTTCCCGCTCTCACAATATGAAGGTTTGAGGAAAAAAGCTGCTTACATTTAGAGTTCTGATTTGATCGATTGCATTGTTGGCCTGTTTGTCATCGAGCTGAATCATCACTGACCAAGACTCTGGAGGGTGGGTTTAGTTGTTGAATTGAATTGTGATCTGACCCTATATTACAATTTGCCAATTTGGAAAGACTGAAAGATTTGTGCTTAAAAGTGCTTAAAAACAAACACATGTAATTTACTTTTCCCCACGTTCTTGTCCTATTGCTTAAGATGAGTGAGTGACATTTAACTAATCATACTGAAGCTTGCACTATCAGAAAAAGAAGACAACCTCAAAGTGCACTGATCATGATGAACACAAAATTGTGACTGGTATGGTATAAACAGATGTAGATAATGTAAATAAGATGTACAAATAGAATAGAATGTTATATTACCCAACTGGGCCACCTCTACTGCAATGAATGAAAGAACTCAATGTACAACCGCTAAGGACTTTCTAGCTCATGTTTTTGTTTCTTTAGTCGCACAAACTCTGGGACAGCAGGTCTGCTAAAGTCAAACATTGGTTGTTCTCACATGCTCATTAAGTCTTGACCAAATGAAGAGTTTATTTTGCACACGTAGCTGTGGGATGCCAGTTATCCGATGTTTAACTTGAGAAAGTGCTTTGTTTTTGGGGTGGAATTTCTGCAAGTTGTCTCAAATTTCTCCCTGTGGCATTGTTACAAACCAAAACTGTCTGCTTTTGTTTGGAAAAGGTCAACTTAGGACTGGAGTTGGAATGAAGTTGGATAGTTGGAACATGCAAGAGAAATTGTAGTGGAATCTATAGACATGTTGGGATATTCAGTAGTATCTGTTGTAGCATCTATCTTAATTACAGTCATAGCTCATTAACGGTTTTCAATTGCAGTATTGATAGTTTGTATTACTGCCTTGTGTTTCATTCTAATTGGGTACACAATTTGTGAGGTATTTTTGTTGCCACTATCCATACACACAGCATATAAACTGACATGCAGTGACTTCATTTCATTCATATGGTTTCATTTAGTGCATTATTCAAACCAATCAAGACTTCAACCAAGACTACTCCCTGACCTCAGAGCGAATATGCATGGGAGATACAGTCAGACCAACAGCAGAGGAATTCCGGAAAAGGGGAATTTTTCCACTTTGACTAAACAAAAAACTTTCAACTTTGCTACTTAGAGGAAATTGATTTGCAGTCATAGCCTCCCACAACTTAGGATGGATAAGGCATAATATTGAGTTTTAATTTAACACAGACATTAAGGATTACACCAAAGTGTAAAGACATGTTTGGTGTTTAGGGTTCAAATAAGGTTTAGATGATTTGGGCACAGTGCCATTTGTTTTGTTGAGAGGAGGAGCTGGAGAACACATAATCTATCATACTGTTTGACATAGATATTTCAAATAAGGTAAGGTATAGGAGCATAAAATCTTCCCTTTTATTGCTTAATGCTGATTAGGGCCTATTTCTGTCTTGTGCTGGGAAACATTATACTCAATATTAATTTTGATGCCACAGTGATGATTAAAACACTTTTATTCGCCACACAAGTTTAACAAAATTCTGATATACAGTAGATCAAGACCATTCTGAAACTCACAGAAAAAAAATCTAACCATCTGTTTTATGGTGACACAATGCGCACATTAGCAAACACCGCCTAAAAAAGTCTGAAAACTCAAGAAAAAATACAAAATAAATTTAAACAGTGCATTTTTAAGAGCCTGTGATTAATACAAGCATTCATGATCCTGTCTGGGTGTTTGATTTTCAACAAAAATGTGATAGTGACTAACTGAAAAACTGCAGCAATCTTGTGACTGTAATTTCATGTGTGAGAGACTTGTTTAACAACACAAATCAGATCTCCTGTTGCAGTTCCAACTTAGTCATCTTCTGGTCAGACTGTGTTAAATTTAAAATTAGATTAAAGTCTAACTTGAGTAACAAAGCTTCAGATTGAGGAGTACCTTCAGTCATCCTCAAACCCCCAGGGAACATCGATCAGCTGCAAAGTATCAGTACTTGTACAAGTGAGTATCGAGTTTTGATACTGGTTAAGAATCTATTTGTATCTGGATATCGACTTTTGACAACCTTACTTCTAGCCTGGTGTGACCTACTTTGCAAGAATTAAACTTTTGATACTTACATTACATAAGACTACATAGCGCTCTCACTTTAAACTTCTATCATGCACCTACGCCTGTGACAGAAATTCCCAACTTGACCCATTTACGCTGTGTGCTGGGAATAAAATTGGGCCTAATTTTCAAATGAGTTCATAATTGAGGCTCAAATACAGTGAGGACCTCCATCAATTCACTGGCTGATACGTTGCGATGGGAATATACTGTGTCCAGATTTGGATTTAAACCAGGAGTCGTCCATTTATTCACAGAGCTCACAGATTTTTTTAAATTATGACAGCACAAAACGCTCAGTTACACCAATATAGCTCTGTGAGAGACCAGCTGTACTATGTTTTATCAATAGTTTTATGCTCATTTATTTCTGCCAAATAAAAATACAAATCTGACTAACTAAAATGGGACTAGCTGCCAGAGGAAGAAATAAAGTTTGCTACTGAATAAAGCATTGCAATCAGCTCTCTCATTTATAACCAGGAAATAAATAAGAAGAGTATTTAGCATTTAGTTTAACTTTCTGATGTGTGAAATGGCCTAATTGTGATAGAAGCAGATGTTTTGCTATAGTGGGATGAACTGTGTGCAGGTGTCAGGTGTTAGGTGTGCTCCTAGAGGATTATGGGTAAATCTGACTGCCACCCCTACACCATAATAACAGCCATCACAGTCTGGACACCTGCCGAGACACTTCGAGAGGATGGACTCTTCCGACTGCAGGAAGTCACTGCACTCTAAAACTCATTAAACAACTAACACTGCTCTGCCCACTTATAATTATTTAAGAGTTCTGTATTGTTTCATTCACACATGTTTGAGTAATCCTTTATTATTAGTCTGTTTACATCTGCAAAGCTCATGATGCTCTGTTCCATCTTGTGATGTCATGAAGCTGTACTTTTCAAGTTAACAGCTACCATTTACCTCCAGTTTAGCAGAGATAGACAATTCCAGTGCTGAAATGATCCAGTGACTTCTGTGACGGTGTATGGAGTTTAAAAACACAGTGCAGCAGTTCTTGTATTACCACATGACATCACAAGGTGGAATCGAGTTTGAGACAAGGATTCAGCTTAAATATGCACTGTTTGTGTGAATGAAACAAAACACAACTCCAGGTATGTTTTTGTTGAGATAAACAGATTATAACATGGATCAGAAAACTATGTAATATTGGCCCATTAAGATTCAAATCATTTTAAAGTAGATCATGATTTTGAAAAGTTTGATTGCTCATTTTGCAAAATTCCGTCCAACTACAGGAAGTCACTGCACTCTAAAAGCCCATGTCTAACATCCTCCCTCTCTGCTAGTTTATAATTAGTTAAGATGTATTATTTGGTCACAAAGCAGACATAACTGACAAATCATTCAAAAACATGGCATCATTTAGAAAATTCTGTTATATTTTCCTCTTCTTTTCTACTTTCGCAGCTCTTCACATTGACATCTTGAGAGAGTTGGATTTGACAGAAAACATGGAGGGCGTGGCTTTGGAGGCGGGACTTTGCAGTAACAGAACAGGGACACAGGAGACAGACCTGGCCTACAGAATAGACAAAAAGATTCAACTCAGTGCCCCCACCAAGCAACTGTTTCCAGGTAAAATGTACTAATGTCATTCATTTGATCATAATACTTAAGGTCCTATATTATGCAAAATTGACTCTTGTGAGCTTTATTATAATGTTGTTCCCTCCTGGTATGTTTTTGATGAGAAAACATTATAACATCAATTGACTGTTGTCATATTATTAAGTAAAATGTATGTTGTATGTATGTTGAAGTCTCCAAAAACTGCTGTGAATATATAGGATGCTAGTAATATGTTAGCAAAGTGAGGAAGAAGTTATCTTTTGTACTTATAAAATAACTTTTGATCATTTTCCAGATACAAAATTCCCAGAGAACTTCTCTCTAATGACCACAGTACAAGCTAAGAAGGATTCCCAGTTCTTCCTCTTGTCCATCTATGATGATCAGGGGGTGCAGCAGTTAGGGCTGGAGATTGGACGCTCTCCTGTGTTTCTCTATGAAGACCAGAATGGACAGCCTACACCTGAACAGTACCCCACCTTTAAAAAAATCAACACAGCAGATGGAAAGTGGGTAGCTTCAAAAATCACAATAGTATTTACATTCTGTTTAATATAATGAGTATCTTATCAGTGCACACTGTGTGGTGTTTCAGATGGCACAGAATAGCCTACAGCGTGAAAGGGAAGTCGGTTACTCTCTACTTGGACTGTCAGAAGGCTCAGACCCTGGATCTGCCTCGCGGGGACAGTGCAGTGGTCAGCACGGATGGTGTCACTGTGTTTGGGACCAGACTGCTGGATGAAGATGTGTTTGAGGTGAGAAATACTAAACAAAAATCAGCCACACGCTCACACAAGCCTCTTTAGGCGGGCAACAAAAACATCAACAGTATGGATGTGGTGTTAACTGAGAGGTATGGGTGGTATGCTCTATGTTACACATGAATACTGATGTAGTCTTAGAAATATTTGTAGATTCTATAAAACAAACAGTGAAGATGGGGTTTTCCTTTTGCATTTAAAGTATTTTCAATTCCATGCAATCCTCTTGTAAAACAGCAAATCTTCTTAGAAGATTTGAAAAGAAAATCACGGTTCAGGAGGTTATGGGGTGATAGGGTCTCTGTCAATCAAATGTTGGTGGAACAAAGTAAAAAAATAAAAAATAAATAAAGGATGAATTGAAAAGGCTGAAAAGGGGACTTGTTGTTCAGACATGTCCACTTACAAAGAAAAGAAAATATTTGTTCTTCCCAGTCTGGATGCAACTACTGACTACAAAACAGGAAGATATATTTGGCCTACACCATTTCTGCAGTCTGGTCATGTCCAATGTCAGAACAAGGTTTTGAGAATCCAACTGTTTTCAGAAATCTCAGTTTTAATGCTATTGTATTTCCCCATGTGTTTCCTCTTTTGCTTGATGTGTAAGTGTCTAAATCTCTTGTGGCCATGATCTTGTGGTGCTGTTTTGTATCAAAACAGAATGAAACATAAGGCCAAATAAAGATACATAATATAATTCAGGGAAAATATCTTATCCAGTCTTTTATTTCCAAGTGTCCCCCAAGTGACCTGGGCCTGAAGGCTGGGATAAACAGGGTAGAGAAGTAAAGCGCACAGAAACATGCTAATTCTCCTTAAACCAGTGAACCATTAGCTCGTTCACTTTCACCCACACTTCAGTCAGAAGTCAGCTTCAGACCCACCCAGCAGACGCCCACTGCCCTGGGTTACTCATTGGACTAATCACTAGCTCTTCAAATGTGTCCACCCATCAGCACCTTTTACCTGGGGTCAAATCCTCCCAGGCAATCACCCTGTCACCCTCCTGCCTTCTCCAGGCATTTTTCAAATTCAGCTGTTGAATTTTAATTAGGTGTGCAATTACTTGTGTTTTGAAAACCACAATTATTTTTTCCTTCACTTTAACTAGAGATGATTGATTTTCACAGTTAGCTTCAATGATTTCTTTTTCTTGACATGTTTTGGCAGCTGCACTGCTAGATTTTTCAGAAGTTTCCTGATTTTACAATTGTGATGACATATTTGGCAAGACTTATACAGTGTTTAGAAACAATAGCTGATTTAAAGTTGTTCTATGTAACTTTTCTGGTTGGGGTCCATCATGTAAGTGTTCTTGCTTTGTCTGGACAGTTTCTTAATTTGCATTTCAATCAGTCTTTGTAATTACTTAAAAATACCCTTGAAAAACATGAGCCTGTCCACACATCTGTACAGTAATTCATCACCTGCTTGTCTTCATGGGGATACATAAGTTTAATGCCGTACTAAGGAACATTCCAGGCAAAGAATAACAAGCATGTGGCTGACACTCCAGCAGATCATTTACACACGTACCTTTAAATGCAGTTTCTCTACACTAAACTCTGAATATTTCTGCATGTATATGACAAATGCAGCGTTTAAGGACAAAAATTTGACCTTGTGACATCCCACATTGGTCATAGCCTGAACTACTGTCACAATTTCCTCTATTTTTAACCGTATGTGTTTGTATAAGTGTGACTCACATTGTATACATGGGGTGTGGATGGTACCAGGGGACAGTGGATTCTCCATGCTGACCTCCGGGCCTCTGTTCCCAGGCCCTGGTTCTGGGAGAGGGCTTGGTCTTTCCAGCGTGGGAGCTTTGCCTGGAGCTTGTGTGGACTGTGGGCAGCCGCTAACGTCTCTATTGCTTCCAGATTGCTTACAAATGACTCGCAAAGTTTGATTTCCAAACTTCACACTGCGCTCGCAAACAGAGCTAAGCAAACTGTCCTCAAATGGGCTGTGCTACTTCTTGGCTGCTATGTGAGAAATTGTGCTGCCAACTTGCTAACTGCTACGATAAGATCCAACTGAAGTTTATTTGTTAACTGAAGGCGTTTAGAACATTTCCATCATGATTAGCAGCTTAAGCATAAATGGTTTTAACTGTAAAGCTATGTAGTAGTAGTGTAGTAGATTTTTATTTATTATTTTGTGGTTGTGTAATGGTGTTTTTAATCAAATCAAGCTAAATTTAGAATGTAGCCACAAGAGGTCAGCAATGTTTTCTTTGTGGAAGTCCAAAGCCTAGATAAAAGTAAATAGTTCTGTTTAAAAAGAGGGCTCTGTATGACTATTTTTAACATACAGTGCTATATATATATATATATATATATATATATATATATATATATATATATATATATATATATATATATATATATATATATATATATATATATATATATACATATATACATATATATAAATACATTTGAATATGAAGTATATCACCTATAATTAAAACATGTTGTGTAATCTCATAAACAAGGGTGATATTTTTCAACCTTAACATTTACAGGCACATTTTAGCACATTCCTTATGCTTTGTTAAAGATCCTATACTACTCTAAATTGACTGTTGTGAGCTTTTATAATGTTGTTACCTCATCAAAAACATACACAGAGTTGTGTTTTATTTCATTCACAAATGCTAAAATGCTCAGTTCCCCCTTGTGATGTCATGTAATGGTAGTTTTTAAGTTAACAACTACCAATCTATAGTTCTGCAAAGATTGGCAATTCTAGGTAAGTTATGCATATGCTTCTAATGAATGCACATGGTGTTTTAAAACACAATGGAGCACTTCCTGTTTTACCACAAGATGGAGTGTTTCCAGAACTCAGCCTAAATATGCAGGGTTTGTCTGTTAAACATGTGTGAATGAAACTAAACACAACTACGGGTATGTTTTTGATGAGTAAACAACATTATAACAGATTAGAATATTACTATGATAAACAATGATTACTATGATAAAGAAAATTCAAAAACATATTGTGAAATTCACTTGTGAGTATTTTGTAACAGGTTAGTAGGTGGCCAAGTATAGGGATAGTTATAAAATAGGAGAGCGTTTTGTGAAAGTGGTGCTTTTGATCTCAAATCAAGATTAGATTTGATTGGATTACCTCCCTGTTGCTTTTCCCAGTCTGACTCTTCTTTTTTTCTATCACCTACGTGCGCATTAATTTCCTGTGCTTGTGTCTGGCTGCAGGCCCATCCATAAAGACAACACAATGAATGAAAAACAGCTTTTACTGTTCCATATATTAAAGCACAAATTACCAGCGTGAATTGAAATGTATGGCACCCCGTTATTGCCTATTGAGTTTTATTATGGATGTATGAGATGCTGGCAGGTAAAACAGGTTTGATATGTTATGATTGATTTCACCTCTGCTCATAAAGTATCATTAGAAAAGATTTCGATTGGAGTGTAATTACAATCGCATCAAGCATTTAACTCAACTTAATTGATCACAAATGGCTCTCCAGATGTCCCCGGATAACATTTCATCCAACTAAATGCGTGCAACAGCCTGTCAGTTACTTAGGATTCCTATCACTGCTGCAATCTGAGCCTTGTCAAACACTCAGCTGTGGCTATGCTTCTTTGAACGTGGATATTGTTTATGAGTTACTTTCTTAGATTTACTATTTATATCTTTACTGCTAAAGAAATATGCATTACAACAACTCCTGGCCAATAAAAACACACATCTACGTGCAAGCATTATGGAGGGTTCAATCAGGGAGTGCATCTGTTGTAAAAGTCTTGTATACTGGGAAGCAAGCAATTTTCGTTAAGAAACTATGCAGAAGTAATCAGAGTTTGATGTAAATGGACATTGTATTGTGTTATACCTGAAGTTGTGTTTTATTTTGTTTCATTCACACCTGTTTAACACAGAAATCCTGCATACTTAGGATGACTTCTGAGTTCTCAAACAAAAACATGTGGCTAATCTCTGAGCAAAAGGTTAAAGGTAGGTTTTTACCTTGAAAACTACCGCTTTGTGACATCATAAGTTGGAATGGAGCATTTTGAGCTTTGGAGATGTAGACAGACTAATAATAAAGGGTTACTCAAACATGTGTGAATGAAAAACAAAAACAAAACAAAAAAAACTTTAGGTATGTTTTTGATGACATAACAACATTATAGGACATTATAGGACTTTCAAAGAGTGTTATTATGGGTAACTGGACTTATTATGGGTAACTGCTAATGTGTATTAATATATTATCTGTGTACTGTGTGTGTTTTTATTTTAGGGAGACGTTCAACAGCTCCTGATCTCAGAAGACCCTGATGCTGCAGCCACATATTGTGAAAGATACATCCCAGAGTGCGATGCTGATCTGCCGTACAGCATCCAGAGCGCAGAGGTTAGAAAGACACAATAATAAGACAACATAAAAACATAATATTAATGAACAAGCAAGCAGCAGACTTGTTCTTATTGTTCTGTGTACTTATTTCAGGGCCTCCAAATGCTAATCTAATGTCTCAGCTTACTGCCAAGTAGGGGTCAGGGAGACAAGTGTTAGCTGTCAACTTGATAGACCGAGACAAAATGGTGTTCAAGCTCAAATCATTGTGAATTCCAGACATTTTAGGACCTTGACGTAAGAAGTCCCCTTGGTTTATGCACATATCTTAAATTACATTTGTTTTTTATGTATATTGTTTAAAAAAGACAGATGAAGAATGTTTTTACATGCATGCAGGCGTTTGGGTTTGGTGTATGCTCCGGGGATGGGTCATTATTGGATGTGTGAAACGCTTGTTCTTGGCTTGTATATAGCAACAGCTGAGCACTATGAGCTAAAGCCAGGGCATTTCGACATCTGTCAGCCCATTGACCTACTTCCCATAACATTCACTCTCTAGTAGGCTGCTTATAGTCAGAAAGTATTAAAAAAGATCTGATACTAATTTTATATTTTATGGTTTTGGCCAGTGTAATCGTACATGTGTATGGGTGTTGTGGTTCATTTTTAGATGCATACAGTACAGTTAAAACTGATTCAACTAGGTGACTAAACTGTGTTTGCAATTTGTAACTTTTAATTTGTGTTTTTTAAAGCACTTGCCTTTAATTTTTTCATTTCATTTTCTTTCTCTACCTTAAACCCATCCCCTAATCACCATTTTACCTTTCCAATACAAGAATTCCCTGAAGTCTGATGCCACAATTCAAAATGAGAAACTCGAAAAACCACAGAAGCAGTCTAAGAAGGACAAAAAGGGCAAAAAGGACAAAAAGAAAAGGGACAAGGGGTCAAAGGGCAAAGGTAAACGTAAGGGGAAGAAGGGATCCAGGAAGAAGAAGCATCAAGAAGAGCAGATCCAAGATGGTTCCCCACATGCCACTACAGCAGCACCTCAGTATCTGTCCCAGGAAGCAGTTGTACCCACGGAGATTCTAGTGACCACAACCACAATAGAAACAACAGTCAGTCCCACCGAAGAATACATCAAAGGCCTGTTGGAACTGCACACTCAAGAGACAGACCTCACCTCTGAGTCCTCCACCACGGGGCCCAATACAGTACTAGAGTTTGAGGTTGAGAAGGAGGTATTATATTGTATGTTCACCAGTAGATGTCCCTAAACCCCATCGTCATTTAACCACTCCCCTAATCCTCCCTGTAACTCCTGTAGGAATGTTCATAACCATCGCTTTTCTAATCATGAATGTATTTGATTGTGTTGTAGGTAGTGATCCTAATACAATTCTACATGCATACTATAAGGCTGGCATTTTGCCTACATTTAAAGAGCCCATATTATGTTATTTTCTGACCTTCTCTATGTTATAATGTTGTTTCCTCATCATAAACAGACCTGGAGTTGTATTTTCTTTCATTCACACATGTTTAACACACAAACCCTGTTTTTCTCTCAAACATAAAACACTGATGTCATGTAGTATCAGTGGAAGTGCTCCACTGAGCATGTTCCCTTATGAAATCATAAGGTGGAACAGAGCATTTTGGTTTGGAGATGTAGACAGACTAATAATTAAGGATTCCTCAAACATGCGTGAATGAAACAAAATACAACTCTGTGTATGTTTTTGAGAAGGTAACATTCTAACATGGCTTAAAGCTCAGAAGAGACAATTTTATATAATATAGGACCTTGATACAGAACATAAAGATAAAATAAATCTAATTACATTTTCTTGAATTTATGTGTAGATAATACAATACACAATTTTTAGAATATTGTGTAAAATCTCAAATTTCACTACTTTTAAATAAGTATTCATGGGTTTCAGAAAAAAGAATAACAATTAATAATTGCATTTTAATATAAATCCATCTATTAACATTATTATAATTGTGAGGCTTGTAGTATTTCATTATTTGTTGAACCATGAAGTGTCAATATAATATTTATTTAACTGTAAAGAGGCATGCCAGTATCTTCATAGCATGCATGGTGCTTACAGCATATCACCACGCTGAGCAGACTATTTTCCACCATTGTATTGTAACTATTTTAATCTGTGTTACCCTGCCATGCCATGTGAATCTGTTGTCATCTACTTATCAACTACACAATAACCATGCACCTGTCAAACTGCACCTGTCAAACTGCACCCTAAACAAGCACGTTTCACCTTTTTGCCATCAACCAGATTTTATTATCCTCCAAGATTTCACAAGAGCTTCAGTTTTTCTCATGTATTTTCTCATGTTGGCCTCCAGGAGTCTGAGCCTGTGAAGGCAGCAGTTGTGGAAGGTTCTGAAGATGACCTATACGATGCTCTCTCTGTTTCCACAGTAACAGTGGGCCCAAATGTGACCGACTATGAGGTGGGCTAAATTAATCAGTCAACACATCTCATGTCCTTATTTTGCACAGTAAAATAATGTATAAATTCTATTACAGGTCTTTGAGTATGACTTAAAGAACGACACAAGCTCTGAAGAATATGAAATTTATGAAGACAGTTATGATTTTGCAGAACGGGAACTAGAAGAAACATGGCAGGGACAGGTGCATTTAAATTCAGACATGGAGTAAGATGGTGTAATCTTTATTTATTTACAGCTGGCTTTATTTGGTGTATTTGTGTTCAATAGGGTCCTCTCAGAGGAGAGAAGGGTCAGAAGGGAGAACCTGCTGTTGTTGAGCCGGTGAGCTCCAGTCATATTTAAAAAACAAAACTGATGAACCATCAGAATGGTTTTATTAATATGCCTCATCTTTGTTCACAGGGAACAATGATAGAAGGGCCCCCGGGTTTACAAGGACCACAGGTCAGCTGGGTTATAGTTTGTATTTGGAGGTTGAAGTTAAGATACATCTGACATTCTCTAAGATTTGGATTCTGTTTGCAGGGCATGAGTGGCCCAGCTGGACCTGTTGGCCCCCCAGGACCAAGGGGTGATCCAGGTGATAAGGTAAGTTTTACTTTCCAACTGTATATCTGTTTTTTTATTGAGCAACAAAGCTGTAATCATTATTTGAGCACATTCTTAAGAAACCTATAACAGGGAAAAATTCTACTTAACCTGCTGCACTGTGATGATGGGAATATGTTAATGCTTGTGGAGTTCTTATTTATAGAAAAGACAACTTTATTTTGTCATTGCAAAAGATATTTAACTCAATAATATTTGTGCAGAGCATTTGTTTTGTTCTATGATTCTGTCCATGAGCTCCCACTCACATGACTTTGACTTGACATGTTGGATACTGTCTGCCTGTGCAGTCTTTTCTTGTTTTTTAATTTATCAGAACACACTCTCCCAAAAACACAGAGTATATTTTCAGTCTATACCATTTATCCTTCCACTTCACAGGGTCCACAGGGACGGCCAGGTCTTCCCGGGGCTGATGGGATTCCAGGTCCCCCAGGAACAGTGCTAATGCTGCCAGTAAGAACTCTGCTCCTATAGCACAGCCTCTCCCACTGCAGTGTGATAACACGGCCACAAGGGGGGGTTGTGTTGCTTCAATAATTTGCATTCAGAGATCACTGCAAACTGCATTGATGATTTTCATTTGCTTGTAGTTCCACTATGGAGGTGATTCCCAAAAGGGGCCAGTGATATCTCCACAACAAGCCCAAGCACAGGCCATCCTGCAGCAGGCTCGGGTATCAAAGCATAAAAGCTCTGTTAATCAGACCATTGTCACACATAATGGTTATTAATACAGATTGGCCTGAGTGCAATGTTTTATTATGGTGATTAAACATAATTAGTTTGGTTGTACTTTTAAATTCAGATTTCGTTGAAGGGCCCTCCAGGACCGTTAGGTCTTACAGGGCGACCAGGGCCTCTGGTAAGACTTAACATACAGTGTTACATACAGAATTATGAGTTATCTTTAGGCTTTATACTTAAAGTTTCCCTTTTCCAGGGTGTTCCGGGACCATCTGGTTTTAAAGGAGACAGTGGAGATGGTGGCCCCCCTGTAAGGCTTTACAGTATTTTATTAGTCATCATTAAAGCATGGTCATTTGCAAGCTATTTTATATTGTACTGTCATATTTCTCATCATTTTGTATTTGCTTGGTGCTTCACATTTAGGGGCCAGCTGGTTTGCCAGGACCTCCAGGGCCTAATGGAAAGGCAGGAAAGAGAGTAAGTAGTCTTCTGGCTTTAAAATATTTTGCCTGCACTTAAAAAAGAATTACATTTAAGAGCAGTTGTTATTTACTTTAAATAGGGACGCGCAGGAGCAGATGGTGGTCGTGGAGCACCAGGTGAAACTGGTGCTAAGGTAGGTTGCTTATATTCTACTGTAAGTGGGAATAATTTAGGGGAGAAGAGAGTGGAGTTCTATCTATTTGAGAGAATGTCAAGTGTCAATGGAACAAGGTAAAAATGAAACTCCAGCCTGTGTGAAATCTATATGTATGTTTTAACAAGAAGCAATAGTTTTGATAGTTTATAGCTGTCGACAGAATGAATAAATAAACCAGATTCCCCGATGCCGATGTGATTGAATGCAGTGTTTATCCGTGAAAGCAGTGTTTGACTAAACCTACAGCAGTGTGCAGTGTATGTCTGATACACATGCAGCAGATGGGAGTGCTGTCAGGGGAGACTTTGAGCACTATTCTGCTAATGTTTACACATTACCATATGTGAATTCTAGGTGTAATGCTTCTCTATGACTTCTCAGGGCGACAGGGGCTTTGATGGTCTGCCAGGTCTCCTGGGAGACAAAGGCCACAGAGTGAGTAAATTCTATAATGTGACATTGTCACTGTTTTATTTTTCACCATTAACACCACATACCAGCACAGCATTTGTGGAGGCATGACACGCTTTGTGGCAGATGTTTATTTGCATAATATGATCCTCATGATTGTGTGATTTCTGTAATGACACAATATACTAAAAGCATCTGCTTGATGCTGCTTTGCTTTGAACAAAACTGTCTGACATTTTTGAGAATTGTGACTAATCTCTTTATCATTTAGGGTGACAGAGGCAAGCCAGGTCCTGCTGGGCCTGTTGGAGAGCCGGGGGAGAAGGTATTTATACTTTCAAACTTTGACATACCAAATCCATCAATAAATGAAAATTAGACAAATACAGAATTGTGTCAACAATTAAGACTCACAAACTGTAGACAGTTCAAATGTTTTCACAGTTTGCCGAAGACAGGAAATCTGTGCAACCAAACAGCAACAAATGTGACAGCATGTGACAGACTGAAGCTCTTGTCAAGATTGTATCAATTTACACAAGCAAATGGGTGAATTTGTAGAGCTCAGTCTATTAGTCTTTCTTTGAAGGGAGTCGCGTTGTATCTGCCAGCTAGTGAATTTTTTTAATAAGCTTCTTTCACAGATTATGTCTACGTGGTTATGAATGTGGCAGCCTCACATCTGATTGAAAGTGTTTATGTTTGAATACTTTCTGCTTTTCCTTTTAGGGGTCTGACGGACCTGTGGGACCAAGAGGACAGCCGGGTGAGCCTGTAAGTAAATGGAAATGAACAGCACATGTTTGAAGAAGCATGTATTTGTATATGTATCAGATTATTAAAATAGTGAGTTTATAGATGAAGCTTGTATAGCTAAAACATTGATTCTATAGACATTGTTTAGGAAAATTTGTTGAAAAATAAAGTTTGAAATAATATCTACACCTCCTCTGTAGATTCAGGTAGTATATTTTTCAGGAAAACATTTTGTACATCAAAATATGTCTTTTTGTGTCTCATTCTGGTTGCTTATGACTCACATCCTATCTCTCTGCCTGTGGGTAAGGTCAGGGCTCGGCGGGGTCCTGTCCCTCCAAATGGATCTCTGGGAGTTTGAAGAAATAGAGTTCTCAAAAATAAATACATTTAAAAACATTGTAGAAAAATTGTGTAGGACAACAAAAACACAGCACAAGGAGAGAATAGAGGAAACCAGACACAGCAATAAAGAAGCAGAAATTTGGTCTGCACATAAATGCGATAAGAGACACGTTAGAGGAAAGATGTAGCGACGGAGGGAGTGGAGATAAAATCCTGGCCTGAATGATTATATTTCCATATCAATCACCTCCCAGGAGATCACAGATGTGGCAGTGGAACAGGTGGCTTGGCCGGTCTACAAAGAGCACGAAAAAACGAATGCACAAACACACAAGACTGTCATAGCTTTTACATGCACAGCCCTATCCATACATGCACGCTTTTCTGTGATGTTTTCTTTCTTTTTAATTCAAATTTGTAGATTAATATTCAGCAAACAAACTCGTCTGATCAGCAGGTTAAATGATTTCTTTGTTTTATATTCAGGGAGCGCGGGGTCTAATCGGGCCAAGGGGTTCACCTGGTCCACCTGGCCAACCGGTGAGTCGTCCAGTCCAGATAGAATTCTCCCATATAAAATAAACAAAGCTGACATGGTGATCAGAAATGTGTTTCTGCTTGATACAATGCCATCCAGTGTGTTATGTTATGAATTGTGTGTCCATTTTTAGGGAATCAGTGGAGCTGATGGAGTTCAAGGGGCAAAGGGCAACATGGTCAGTGTTGTCATTCATGAATAAATGAATAACTAACATTGCTGTGATAGTGCATAATGATTCTATTGATTATATTGCTACATTAATGCAAAATTTTTGGCATTTGGTCAACAATGGTAGAAAGTTATGAAGTATAAACATAAAAGTATAATATTTAAGTACACATTTTAGGTATCTTTAGGTACTTTACTTAAATGCAATTTACAGTGGATAATTTTTACTTATACTTCACTACATTTGCGAACATGTATCTGTACTTCCACTGCATATTAGATCTGGCCTGAAAAGTAAAAAGTACTTTGAAATGGCTGTGACTTTTTTAGCATGTTTAATTTGAGTTTCCAATCCAACTATGAGCAAACCAAAGACACAAAGACAGCTAAAAACAATAAGAAAGCAATTGCAGCACTTAAAATCAGCCAAATTCTTTATCAAAATCACAACATTTCTTCCTTTTATTTGTTCTAAAAATCTCTGCAAGTCTCTACTTTTACTTTTTGTCCCTATAGTAACAAAGTAACAAAATTGAGTACTTCTACCACATCTACCACAGTTGGTCAAAGTAGCTCAGATGGATATAAAAAGAAAGAAATAATTTGGAAATAAAATAATACTATACTATACATTTACAGGGACCACATGGAGATTTAGGTCCACCTGGTCAACAAGGAAACCCAGGTGCACAGGTAAAATGTTTATATAATATTAAACCCCATAGTGATACACAAAACATCGAGTGTGTACCCATCCTCCAATCTCAGACTCTGTTGTGACCTGATTGATGCTTTGTTCTGGTTCAGGGCTTGCCAGGTCCTCAAGGTCCCATTGGATTGCCCGGGGAGAAGGTAGGTAGCATGTCTCTCACTTAATTTAGGAATTAAAGCTGTGACCTCACGACCCCTGTCATCACACACCCCGAGGAGAGCAGAACTGTGCGATCCAACCACTTTTGGCCAGAGCTCAGACAAGAAAGAGCCTGACAGAAAATCAATATCCTAGAAACACACGTAGCCATGACAGACGCTGGCAAAGACCTTGGTTGGTGCATTGCCTAGACTGGATGGTGTGACTGTGAAATTAATATATGTAAGGGCAATTCAAAACAAAGACTGATCATTAGTAAAATCACATTAGTCCAAGTGTAAGTAGATGCATCTAAAAAAAAAAAAAAAAAAAAAATGTATGCAAACTTATATATAAAAATTATTATAATGTGATTAGAAAATGATAAAAATTAGATATGCTGTAATAGACTTGTTACACGATATATTATGCACCTATAAATGCACTTAAAGAAATCATTCATTTATTAGACATATTTACTTTTTTATTTACAGTTTAATTGAACAGTTCTTATGCTCATACTTTCTCTTGACTTTTTATACCACTTACAAATTTACTGTTCCCTAGTCATTGTATTGTAATAAAGGTATTGTGTCCTGCTTCAATCTCTTATCAAAGTAGCATGGAATTACTTAATGTAAAATATTTAATCTTGTGTAGGGTCCTCAGGGAAAACAAGGAATGCAGGGACTACCAGGCATCGATGGTCCTCCTGTGAGTATACCTAAACACACATTGAATTGAATTAAAGTGAAATGGCTTTTGTGAGAGAGAACCATATTAAGTTAAATGGCACTCAGTCTTCAATAAGGCTGAAAAATAACTATAAGTCTACATTATATCCCAGAACATTTTAAATATAGGTTTAGTAAATGACTCAAACAGCAATAAAGGCAATACAATAATTCTTTCTGTGAGAGACCTTCACTTTCCTGTTCTAATTCATTTTACATTAGCCTTGTGTGAGTGCTTTTCATTTAATCATACAGTTATGATGGATCTGTGCCATAGTGCTTTATAAATCAGTCCTCTTTTTTTTTCTTTTTTTTTTTACTACAGGGTCATCCCGGGAGAGAGGGCCCCCCTGGAGAGAAGGGCATCCAAGTAAGTAGAAAAATAAACAAATAAAACTGATTCGATTGATTACTGTAGAGTAATAGCAATTGGTTCAGAAAAGACACTTCTCATCAGAATCATTGTATATGTAGTTGTATTTGATTTCTACTTTACCATGTAACTGCATTCAGATCCAGGATCCAGATCCAGGACCTTTTGACATTTATTCATATTTATATTTGTCACAAACATGTGTTTTGAATTGGTTATCATTAAACTGTATTTAATTGAGTTTTTTTTCTTTTCTTTAAGGGTTTAGTTGGTGCTCAGGGTCCTGTGGGCTACCCAGGGGCCCGTGGAGTCAAGGTAAGTCATAATGTTTGATGTAATGTCCAGACTCCCTTTGCTGTGGACAAGTTGTTTAAGTATCAGACTGACAGTTGGCAGGTAGAGGGTAAGCACCAAGGATCTCAAGGGAACTGTTAACATGAACAGGAACATTTGATGGATAAAGGCATGTCAGGGTTAGAGGGGTATGGGAGATTGGAGAAAAGTCTATTTTCAGCAAAAGAAATATAGCATTGTACTTTACTTTGTTATTGGCCTTAATGACTCGCAGTGAAAGTACTGGTCATTTTCATATTCTATCAAGTGACGATGTCATACTCCCAAATGAGGGGGCAAGGGCCAGATTTTCCTGTTGATTACATTGTACTTGGCCATGAAATATACAAAATATAAATTCACAAATGTAAAACCTGTATTTTCAATTATTGAACCCACTGTATTACAAAATAATTTACTGTTTTAAACCCAACAATTATATTTTCACGCATCAGGAGTTACTTTTAGAGAAGCATTTAAGCAGAGATTGGAGTACACTTGTCTTTAGCTGTGAACAAATATACTAATTTCACACTTTCAAACTTTAATACATATGCTGATTTCACATTTTCTTTATGAGCACACTATAGTTTCTTACTTTGAGACATAACTGTATTTATTTTGTATTTCAGGGAGCTGATGGCATCCGAGGTCTGAAAGGAAACAAAGGAGAGAAGGTGAGCTTGCACAAAAGATTGATGGAGTACATATTAATGACATGATTCATCATCAATGAGATGTCAATACTATTGACCTAATGGGACTTAAATGCACCACAGGGAGAAGATGGCTTTCCTGGGTTCAAAGGTGACATGGGCCTCAAAGGAGACAGAGTAAGCACTGACTAAAGCCCACGCTAACTAGCTTCAGGTAAATGTATTGTTTATTCATGCTGTTTGATTTTAGGGTGATAGTGGCCCACCGGGTGCCAGAGGAGAGGACGGTCCTGAAGGACAGAAGGGACAAGCTGGACCAAATGGAGAATCAGGAGCAGCTGGTATTGCTGGTGAAAAGGTACAATTATATTATTAAATAGCTACAAAGCACCAGCATCTAAAGGTATAATTAAAAAGGCTGGAAGAAACAAATTTTGCCCAAACCTTTACAGCCTGGCATATGCTGAAATATTGTTACTTTTATGTTCCCATTTACATATAACATCCTGAGCTACCTCCCTGTTAAATGCAAACGGGTGCTGAACCACAGTAAACGCTGAAGCATTTAATCTTTCTGTCATGACTGCGTGCAATACTTCAGAGATAGCCCTGTAACATCATGTGCACAGTCAGCACTATGGAATTAAAGACTTCATTAAATGGTTATCCTGCGGTTTAACATTTTCAAATCTGTTTTATATTGTCCTCATATCATCCTGTTTTGTTGGTCTGTTCCTAGGGTAACCTCGGTGTACCTGGGCTGCCTGGATACCCAGGAAGGCAAGGACAAAAGGTGAAAAAGCTATAATGACTCTATGCTCATGCTTCTGCTTATTTTATTAAGCGTTATAGAACGCTGTGTAAAAATGATTGAAATATTCTTGGAATGTGCTTTAAAAATTCACAATTAGCATGTATGACCAGTGACAAAATAATTGATGTAATTTCAATTTTAGCTCACCAATTATGTAGCTCCAGTGGTCTTTTATATTTTTAGCAGAATATGATGGTTTTATGCAGCTCAATGGAAAACGCCTTCACCTCAAAAGCTATACTGAGATTTGTTTACCATTGCGAGATAGGGTCATTGCCTCAGCTGAGGTTTTTGTGTTTACAATCTTTCTTGAAAAACTGCCTTTCACTCTGTACTGTTTATATGGGTCTTTGGCAGTCTGTATCCTGTCTGATTAAAATATAGTGTGATGAATAGCTTATTTAAAAAGGGTAATTTTATTAATAGTTAATCAGCGACATCAATTCATTACTTCTTGATGAATGGTGTATTTAAATCCATGTTGAGCTTGTGCATTCAATTCACTTTAATCTGATATATAAGTCATTTTGGATGATGGGTGATGTATTGAAAGTTGGTGCTGATTAACCTTTTGTCTTTAGGGGTCACTGGGCTTCCTTGGTGTGGCAGGAGCCTCAGGAGAGAAAGGACGAAGGGTAAGGACGAGTCTGCATAAGTAATGGCAGTCCCTGATGATTAAATGTATGACTTTGTGGATAAGCGTTCACCTTTTCAATGCAGGGTCCAGCTGGTCAACAGGGGCAAGGAGGCCAGAGAGGTCCAAATGTGAGTATTCAACCAGTGCTGTTTTTAACACTACCATATTCAGAGAGACTGTGTCCATATCATAGACTGTAAGTGGACTAAGGGAGTGTGGCGTCACCCATAGTCCAGTCAAATGAAGCTCACCATGCTAGCTAGCAGTTATAGTGTGTTATAGAGTGAATATGGAGCCAGGTCCATTTTAGGAATAGGAATTTATGAATTTATTATGTACAAAATAGTGAAATAAAAACACCAGGATCATGTAGAGCAGGTAAACATGAATATTTTAAGACCAAAATGATGAGTCTCACTGTAGCAGGTACAGAGAGAGCGCTGACAATTTTCCAATATAAATTCAGTTACCCAAAACATGCTACATAGGTCTTCAGAAAGAATAGCTGATAGCTAATGGAGGTCAATTAAATACAATCAATCAATTAAAGTGTCTGAGTTATTATTATTATTAAATACAGTGGATGGAACCAGAAGCGCCCCCACAAACACTTCCTATTTGGAACACGGTGGCAGTGGGTTAACTAGGTGCATTTATATGTATATATAGTTTATGATTCATGTTGGAGAGTAGTTTGCTGCCTAAAATGCCTTTGTCAAAGTGCACAAGAAAGTATGCCACTTTTATTACTGCAATTGTCACATTTACCTTAATGAAGAATCCTCCTATGGCAACCATGTTGGGATCAGCAGGTTAGACAGCAATTAAATGCAAAGTAAATGTATCTAAAATGTAAGCGTTATAATTATTGTGACTACAATTCAACTTCATTTCATTTTTTGCTATTATCGACACTATGGTCAAATCAAACAACAGTGAAATCGATACATTTCTTTCATTACTCATGTTTGATATTCCAAATGTTCTGAATGTTGATTAAATTTACATGGCATTATTTTTTAGTTCTTATATTGTGACCTGAATAATCACAATTAAGAATTAACCACATTGTCCTGAAATCCTTACATTCGAATAACAGTTAGATACGATTTAAGAATTGTTTTTGCCTGCCAACATCCCAAATTCAATTCACTATTATAAGCCAATGAAAGGTGAACACAACCAATTAGAAATGTGGTTGCCATGGTGAGTGGGAGACAGCCATGTTGTTGCATCACTGCAGTGCACTCACAGATAAGTTATGCATAGACACTTGTTTGTTTTCTAACAGGGAGCTCGAGGGGGGAGAGGTGCAAGAGGCCCCACTGGAAAACCAGGAGAAAAGGTGACCACAACAGCGTACACACATAGACACACACACACACACACATACACACGCATACACACACACATACAAAGACATATGCACAAAGTGTAATACTGCAAACACACACCTGGTTGCCTCATGAAGTATGGATGAATGAACAGACTGAGCTGGAGCGGGTTGTTGCTGTTCACTTCTAAATGACAGACCATCTGCTGCAGTGAGGCTGGTGTCTGGCAGGGGAGGCCTTGGTTTACACTCTCACCCTCAAAGAGCAGCTTGGGAAATAACTTGTTTGTGATCACAGGACTAAAATGTACCGCTTTCTCTTTTGTTCATTCAACAGGGTTCTGCTGGACAAGATGGCCCCCCAGGATCTCCAGGTGAACAGGTAAAGATTTACATACATGTCAATGGAAACATTTAGCAATCACATTTGACTGTATATAAACCAGTAGAGAAGCATACTCTTTAATGCAATTGTTTTCCAGGGACCTCAAGGACCACAGGGAAGGCAAGGTGAAACAGGACAAAGGGGACCTAATGTAAGATTCTGTATTACATCACTTCAAATGATATACCATTTATTTTGTGTTTATGTTTATTTCTGTTGACAAAAACTTTTTTATTTTAGGGTCCACCAGGAAAAGATGGACTGCCTGGTCATCCAGGCCAGAGAGGCGAACCAGTGAGCGATTTGTATAGTAGAGAATGAATAGCATAAATATGAATTTGCCAAAATCACATTTTAACACATCTTATGTTGTAGGGTTTTCAAGGCAAAAATGGTCCTCCTGGGCCTCCCGGTGTTGTGGGACCACAAGTAAGTTAATGCTTTGTCATGACTGTCTTTTGTGTCTGTCATTTATTTCATAAAGAAATTATACAATTTGTCATGTCTTTTCTTGTAGGGAAAAACTGGTGACACTGGACCAACAGGAGACAGAGGCCACCCAGGGTCACCAGGACCCCCTGGAGAACATGGTTTACCCGGATCAGCGGGAAAGGAGGGGGCCAAGGTGAGTTATCTTTGTTAGGGTCAGAACCACCCAAACCACTGATGTCACATGAGCTAATGTACAGTGTGTATGTTTGTGACAAGTATTCTGCTTTGTATTACACTACTTATATTTAGTTTAGTTTTTTAGTTTATTCTTGAGTAAAAGCCAGCTGTCTAAGGGCCACTGGGCTCCCTTCTAATCACTTGTGTGTTTCAGGGAGATGCAGGTCCAGCAGGTGCACCAGGGAAAAGTGGCCCAGGTGGACTCCAGGGCTTTAGAGGCAGCAGAGGGACCCCAGGAGCAACAGTAATGCCATCATTTTTGTGTCATTTTCTGTTTTCAAAAATGGATGCACTTAGAAAATGTGTCTATAATAACTCAAATGCAAACTGTTTGACTTGTTAAGTTAATGGCTTGACTTTGGGAGCAAAGCCAGGTTACATCGTAACTCCTCAGACACACCTCCCATTCTCCCAACTACTGAAAGCACAATTTTCATTACAGTTAAAATCTAATCACTAACTCCAGCTAACAAGAGAACAAACTGAACTCAACTGATGCAGCTCCTCTGCTGGCTCTCTCATCCCATAGCTCTCTTTATACTGAAGAGCATTATACATTCAGCATCCTCCATTTGTGAATTCCTCATCAGTCCCTTATTTTGTTTAATCTAATAATAAATATTTGTGAAATAAGTTTGTTTTTTTGTCTGTGTAATGCAGGGTCCTCCAGGTTTGAAGGGTGGAGAGGGTCTACCTGGTGTTGCAGGACCAGTGGTAAGTTATAATCAGTTTCTTGAACTCTACATGTGTATACAGCATGTTGCATAGGCCTTCAACACGGTAGTGCAACATATGAATGGAGGCAGTTTCCATGGTGATGTGTTATCTTGACCAAAGCTCTAAAATCAGAGTGAATCATGTTTATCTCACCTCTTGTTTCATTTCAGGGTGCCACCGGAGAGAGGGGCCCTGCTGGGCCAGCTGGTGCTATTGGCCAGCCTGGACGGCCTGGAGGCGTGGGACCTGCTGGGCCTATGGGAGAGAAAGGAGATCCGGTAAGAACTGAGACATGACAAAACGGTTCTTTGGTAACACTCTATTTGGAACATATGAGCTTTGCTGTTGTTAATAATCAAGTGAAAAAGTGAAAACAAGAAAGTTAAACAAGATCATACAAGTTGCACTGCTTATTTTATGACCATGTAGTCACCTTGGCACATCAGTTTTAAACCCACACTCTTTTACGGTGCTAAAAGTTTGTTGTTCTCATCTGTTCTTTAGGGAGAGAAGGGATCTATGGGTCCAGTGGGGAAGGACGGTGAACAAGGGCCTGTTGGACCACCCGGCGTTGCAGGGCCTCCTGGACCTCTAGGAGAGGATGGAGATAAAGTACTTTTCAAATAATGACTTGCTCTGTTGCTAGTGATGAGATACCATTATGTTGAGACTCACATGTGTTTACTTCACAGGGAGAAACAGGAGTGTCCGGCCAGAAAGGCAGCAAAGGAGACAAAGGAGAAGCTGTGAGTATTATAGAGGCAAAGGCATTATGGATGCTTTCATTTCACATGTTTCACAACTGGATAATGCTAATAAGTTATAACTGATAGGATACATTTTTTTACACAAAAAATATTTGTCTGTTATTTTTGGTTGCTTTAGGGACCACCAGGACCACTTGGAATTCAAGGACCTGTAGGCCCACCTGGACCACCGGTATGTCCGTTTATCCTAATGATCATTCAGTTGTGTCTCTTAGTATTCAGTGTTAGAGTGTTTCTTATGCAGGGTTTAGATGGAGAGACTGGGCCTCGGGGACAGCAGGGAATGAACGGGGCTAAAGGAGATGAGGGACCAAGAGGCTTCAAAGGGGCTTCTGGTCCATCTGGACTTCAGGTTAGAAATGCTCAGGTTTAATCAAATGCACTCTCTTATGATACAGTAGCTTCACTTCATGTATATATTGCATCTATGTACAGGGGATGCCTGGGCAGACAGGAGACAAGGGTGAAAGTGGGCATGTTGGTTCACTGGTAAGTACAATACTTCAAAACACTCATCTTAAGTCTGCTGCTATGGCAACAATTTAAAGTATGTTCTCAAATTCACTCTCTCTGATAACACTTGACTTTTTCATAGCTTTGACTTTGAAATGTTTAAATATGGAGAACACTTATTTTCACTGGCAATATTACAGATACAATTCTTCATTTGCACAACCAGTGCTGATGAACAGAAGCATTTGTGTTGTCTATTGTCTTGCTCTGGAGGTGTTTTCTTGTTTTTACCAGATATAATGCCATACAGTAATCACTTTAATATCACAGAAAAAAGAGACAAATAAGAAAATATGCTGGCCATAGACAGGTAATGTTCAATACCGAGTGCAAGGAGGGGCCCTCACAAAGTCTGTAATGTGCTTATTTACTTAGACAACATTTACTGTGGGCCCACCAAGGTAGTTTGTACCCAGGGCCCTGAATTTGGAGCTACACCCCTGTCAATAAGACATAAGTGCGAATAAAGGAATTCACTAGTGTTATCATGACAATGGTAAAATTACAATGTTTCAGCTCTCAGTAACTCTACCACTAAGACATCATGACATCATTGCTAAGATGGTGAAGAGATTGCCAGGCAGAGGATACAGAGGAGCGGACCGCTGGTGTGTGTGATGGAGGCGGCTGCTGATTGTGCGGTGTGACAGCTGTTAATCAGATTAGCCTGAGCCTGTGCTGTCTAATGAGCATCGTCCTTTGTGACAGTCATCTTCTCACAACGCTGTCAACCATGAACGCACGCTCCGCCACATCCTCTATGGCCTGCCTTCTCCAGCAGCCAGATTAGGGAAGAAACGCATCAAAATGGAACCAAAAACAAAAGCGAAAAAGAGCGCGAGAGACAGTCAGGACTCAGTGGGGAAGTTTCATTCATGTGTGAGTGCTGCGGATCACACACTTCTCCTCTCTAATGCTTAAGCAGCTCCCCATCACAAGATATGTGTTCTCTCTCCAGCCCCTTGCAGAGTCTTTCTAGCGCTTTAAAAACACACTCACAGACATCAGAGCGACCCACTGCTCGAAAGCTGAAATTGGGAAAGCAGTCAGGATTAATTGCTTGGTTGTGCAGTACTAGAGTGGAAATCTAGTGTCGTGGCTGGTTGTAAGAAAATGGTCTTGCCGATACCAGATGTGATGTTTTGTATTAAGAAGTGTGAGAATGAGTGTGTGAGAGGTTATGGAGAAATGAGGAAGGATCACAGGCAGTGTCATATTGAGGGTAATGACCTGTCTGGATGTCTTCATCATGGCACTGCTGTAATAATCATCGATGTGAGGGTAATAGCACTGCACCATAAGACATCAAGGCTTCATTCAGGTGAAAATCAGACTCTGTATACAATATATAGAGTATCATGTACTTGTACTTGGCAGCTGTTCTGACAATTGCGTAATGTAATGTCATTTTATTCTCACAGGGACCACCAGGACAGCATGGACCAAGGGGGCCCCCAGGTCCCATTGGTGCAGAGGTAAAGTGACAACCACTCTCTTATTCCAGCTCTACTACTTCTACTATGACTACTAATACTATATACATACAGTATATTATTATGAATTAAACACATTAGACTTTGATACACATTTTCAAATACAGTTAGCTGTTGCTGTTTTATACAATATATCTAATCTCTAAGACGGACTGATCTAAATATGAAATATCATGTAGCATTATTCATCAGAGTAAATCTTGTATAAAATTATGACTTCACATGTTTACTATTTTTGCTTTTGAATGAATTTTCTGAAATGCTCTGGCTTCTCTTTTGAGCACAATTGTTGTTCTTGCTCAAAAGATCCTTCTCTTCTTTTGATGTACATTATTTAATAGTATGTAATTCCACAGAGGGAGTTATATATACCATTCTATGAATCATTAAGCAGTATTAGACTATCATCCCTAAGAGCCCGTTATATTTACCCCTGGTAATGGCTGGCTTGCTACAGTCTCTCACTCTGGTCAATTATTCACTGCAGAGCTGGGATAGTGCTCCATCAGTGGAAATACTGTAGTGGCGAGAGAGGACAGGATCTATAAATGGATTGATACAGAAATGCTGGGAGGGAGTCAGGTGAGAGTAGATGACAGCAGAGTTAAAGAGTGAGAGCTCATGTTCTTTTATGCACCAAAGACTTTATTCAGCTCTTCTCAAACACCAAAAGCACATCTAGCGTGCATACACTCACATACAGGCACACACAACCAAATCGGATATGACCCATTTGATTGACTATCCACCTGAACACAGACGCTGACAAACAAGACACTGTTTTTTCAAGCGCATGAATATTTGAAAGTAAGCCCTGTTTTGTCTCTCCCCACAGGGTCATGCTGGATTGCCTGGCGGAGTTGGTCAGCCTGGAATTGTTGGAGAGAAGGTCAGCTATGGCCATCAGCAAATGAACAGCATGTGTCTGAGGAAATGTTTTGCATGTATGGCCTGTTTCTAAAGGCCTCCTCTTTCCTAGGGTGAGGACGGCGAAGCAGGAAACCCAGGCCCCCCCGGTGAACTGGGTATTGCTGTGAGTCACACATTTTGTTATTTTCCTTTCAGTGTCCTTTTAATTACTGACATACAGTTTCTTGTTATTGTAGGGAACTAAAGGCGAGTTTGGGGAGAAGGGTGACACTGGTCCTCCCGGTGCAGCCGGACCCCCAGGACCAAGAGGAACACCGGGTGAGGACGGGCCCAAGGGACACATTGTAAGTGTCTCTGAAGACTGAATCAATTTATTATACAGTATATTTACATGATAATCTGCCGCTGTTTTTTATCAATAGGGTCCCATTGGTTTTCCTGGAGATCCTGGACCTCCTGGTGAACTTGGTGCCAATGTAACTATCAAGCAGTTATTACATATATTTTGTATTATTTTCAGAAGTTGTAAAATGTCATACTTTGTTTTTACCTAGGGAGTAGACGGTGTAGCAGGGCCTAAAGGAGACAATGGAGAACCAGGAAAAGCAGTAAGTGTTACGTCTGTTTTTTATCTAATTTCCCATCGCTTGGCATTTGTTGAACTGCTTAAAATGTCTTCATTTTGACATGTTTGTAGGGGCCTGCTGGAGCATCTGGGGAACCAGGACCCTCTGGCCCTCCTGGACGAAGGGTAACTTGCTTTATTTCTTTGTCAATGATTGTGCCCACAGTAGATGGGAAGTGTTGAGGGAGCGAACCTGAAGTCTGTGGAGGAGACTTGCTGACTTGCTAATGAGTTGCATTTCATCATTGGTGATGTTGTCTCTTCTAGGGTCATGTTGGTCCAGCAGGAAAGGAAGGAAAGCAGGGAATGAAAGGGGCCAAAGTAAGACTATGTTTTATTTTAATATTCAATACATATATTGTTTGTGTATGATAATTACATGCTTGTAAATTACATTGCTGTAGTTAGAATGTCTAATGAGTTTTTATGCTCTGCAGGGTGCAGCAGGAACGCAGGGTCCTGTTGGAAAGACCGGCCCAGTGGGAGCTCAAGGACAGCCGGGGAGAGATGGTCCCGAGGGACTGAGAGGCATCCCAGGGCCTGCGGTTAGTATTTTAAAACAAAACAGTATAATGGATTTTATGGAGGTTACACATTTCTTTTATAGAAATAATTCTGAAAATTCAAACATTGCAACAGTTTATATATGATGTGATGTTTTCAGGGAGAACAAGGGTTGAATGGTCCACCAGGACAAGCCGGACCACCAGGACCAACAGTGAGATGCTCATATATAATGCATAAATATATTTACATTCAGCTATAACATAAAACACAAATGATATATCCTATGTTCCAGGGCCCAGCAGGACTGCCCGGGCTTAAAGGAGACCCAGGAACAAAGGGAGAAAAGGTAGGTTTAAGACCTGACTGAGATACACTGCACACCAAATCCCTGTGAAGCAAGGATCATGAAGCATGTCTGTGTGCAGGGTCATGGAGGGTTGATCGGTCTAATTGGTCCACCAGGAGAGCCTGGAGAAAAGGGAGACAGGGGCTTACCAGGCAGTGAGGGTGCTCAAGGGCCTAAAGGAGATCGGGTACATAATGGATTTGATCTGTGAATTGAGAATAGTATGGTTTAATAAACTGTGTGTTATGTATGCAGGGTACAGCTGGTCAACACGGTCCTACAGGCCCACCTGGACCCCATGGCTTATCCGTAAGCAACATTTATTGAAAACACCCCAAAAAACTGTTTTTCTATGCAATTATTAATTAACTAATTCACAGAACAGTTGAAATTATTACACAAAATGAAAGTGTTTCATATATTTTGACCGACTTTTCCTTTCGGCTCTCAGGGTCCAGCTGGTGAGAAAGGATCAAAGGGAGACACGGTGAGTTCAGTAATCCATCTTATTTTTGTGCTCACACCTCCGCTTGGTCAGCAGCTGCCAGGACCATATGCTGTGTAAGGGGGGAAAGTAAGTTTGTTGGATAAATGTACCATGCCTTATAATTGTGCTCCAGTGAGTCTAGTGCATGTCTTTGGAGCTAAAATCCAGCTGCACTGCCACGCTCAGCTTATGTGTGATTTCTCCATTGGGTCTTTTAATAGGATTTGGTTCTGGTGCCTGTGATATTATGAAAAGCACTATAATGTGTCTTGAAAGCTAAGGCTTCGGCCATAGAGTGTGGATGCACACAGCTGGATAATCCCATAAACAACCTCATATCTGCCTGGGTGAGGCTGGGCTCTAGTCAGATGTGTGAGAGCCTTTCAGGTGTGCAAGTTTATACAAGTCTTTGCTCTATTTCACAGGGAGTTGTAGGCACCAAAGGAGACACCGGGCCAGCAGGACCACCCGGACCCCCAGTACGTTCTTTGAATTTTCTCTCTCAGATTTTTTTATGCACACTTTCTTTTTTGCGTTCTGTTCATACATCATTTTGTATTCATAATCAGTATGTTTTCACATCTTATTTTATGCATGCCTTTATTTCATCATACTTTATATTTTATCATTATTTTTCAGTGTTTCATGTTGCACCACATCGTTGAAGCTCCTAGTTTGTCAAATTTTATAGACTGAAAATGATAATAAAACTTTACTTGATTCTGATTTGTAGGGACCACCTGCAACATACGTGGAGCCGCTGCCCGTCAGGGAAGGCAAGCGCAAGAAAAAAAGGCATTCAGAGCAAGCAGCAGCACCAGCCCTGCCCACAGACAATGACTTCTTCCAAGGGGACGAGGCATTGGAGGATGCAGAGGGCATGGAGGAAGTCTTTGCCTCTCTTGCCTCCATGAAGACAGAGGTGGAGCTGATGAGGCGGCCTCTGGGAACTTATGAGAGCCCAGCCCGCACCTGCAAAGAGCTCATGATGGTCCAGCCCAATTACAAAAACGGTACAGCCATTTCATTAGCCATGCATGCACTCAGCCTATTAGCAGCAAATGAAGCAGTAATCCTATTATCTAGAATGTGTCCATTGTCAAACACCAGGTTAATGCTGATTGATGTCTCTTGTGTAGGAGAGTACTGGATAGACCCAAACCAGGGCTGTCACAAGGACTCTATCAAGGTCTATTGTAACTTCACAGCAGAAGGGGAGACTTGTCTCTATCCTGACAAGAGAATTGAGACGGTAACTATCAAGCCTCGCAAAGCAAATGTTGTCATATTGCATCAAAGTTCAAATCACTCACCACTGTACATTTGTGAGACTCAGCATGCTCTCTCTGCTGTCTATCTAGGTCAAATTATCATCATGGAATAAGGAGAAGCCTGGAACCTGGTACAGTCAATTCAGGAAAGGAAAGCAGGTACTTACTTACCAAATTCACCTTACATTGATTTTTGTCTGCTTGTAAATGTCAGTCATTTTATTTCGTAAATATAGCCATAATTCAATGTTCACATCAATGTGTATATTAATCCTTGTTTAAACTAAAAGACTTCATGACAAGAACGAGAGATGACTTATTTGACTGGTGCTCAACACAGCATTTAACACTTACTATATCATATATCTATATGTCTCTCACATTTACAGGCAACATAATAAGTTAATAATGAATAAAATTATTGGTATTTTGTTTTTCTACAACATATTTAGTTAAAGTGATATATGCTTCATTCGTAGGCAATTATTTTTAGTACAATATGATTATGACATTTATTCATATTGACAATGGATAAATGCTATACTATATTGTAACTAAGTGTCCACCTCATATGTACTGGTCTTTTATTTTAAACAGATTTCATCATAACTTTGATTATGATGTAATTTTGTGTATAATAATAGACAGTTTTCAAATGGCATTCCTGTTTGAGTGAAACTGCAGAATAAATAACTTGTACTTTCCCCCACCCTACAGCCCACTTCACATGTTTCCTCCCCCTGTGTGTGTCCTCTAGTTCTCCTATATTGACAGAGATGGGAGCCCGGTGCATGTAGTTCAAATGACCTTCCTCAAACTGCTCAGTGCCACGGCCAAACAGAGCTTCACTTACACCTGTCAGAACTCAGCAGGATGGTTCGACAGTGCGTCCCTGTCCTACCAGCATGCCCTGCGCCTCCGGGCCCACAACGAGGAGGAGCTGAGCCAGAGCAAGAGCCCCTTCATCCAGGCTGTGTATGACGGGTGCAAGGTCAGTGCTCAGAGAATGTCATTACTTTATAGCAGTCCAAATACTATGTTCTTTTAATGGAGATCAATAATTACAGACCTGAGAGGGAAGTGGCTGTTTACATGCACACCAAAATCTCATACATTTCTGTTTTATGGATTATTGGAATGAAATGTAAACTGTTACATCTGATTTTTGATCTGATCAGATTTCTTTTTTTGCATGCAAACACACACCAAAAATCTTTTCTGATTATCTGATTCTCACTATATAGTTACACGATTTTTAGTAACCATGTAAAAATACCCAGTGACACTTTATTGGCAATAAAATTATAGTTGTTGTTGATAAATCAGTGTATTACAGTAGCACAATGTTGTTTTATGTTATTCTGCTAATCTGCTATCTAATAATCAAATGTTCAGTGTGGTAGAGCAACTCTCAGTAGGACCACAACAACCTCTGGGAGCTCCCTGTTATTCTGTTAATGGCTCCTTTTCTTATATATCCAGGATGAGCAACTAGTCCACTATAAAGGGAAAATGCTATTGCTTAAAAACTACAGATCTTTTAGTCATTACTTCAGTGAACTTTTCTGTGAACTATAAAGACCAAATGCATATTTTAATAGATAGATACATTTTTATTATAGATTATTTTGAGGCTTTTGATGAAATGTTATGTTTTTGTTTGCTGCAGGCTGAAATGTATCTTTTGATGCCACTAAAAGAACCTCTTCTGCTTTTCAGTCTCGTACAGGCCAGGAGAGGACAGTCCTAGAGGTCAACTCTTCTGCCGAGTTGCTTCCTATTATTGACGTTGCTCCTGTGGATTTTGGTCGCAACAATCAGAAGTTTGGATTCCAAGTTGGGCCAGTATGTTTCAATGGTTAACCACTTGCCAACAATGCACAAAAGAAGCCAAGACTATGACAGTTACCACTAGCAATATTTATTACTACTTTTATGTGGTGACCAAATGGTGCTTGAGATTCAGTTTACAGCCACAATGGACTCTAAACGGGACATATGCAACAGTGAAAACACCAAAGGGAATTTTTGCATTATATGGTTTGTATTTAATTGTGTTTTTGTTCTTCCCACTCTGCTTTGAGTATGCTGTAATTTTTCCTCGAGAACTGCACTGCATGACAATCCCCACTGTATCTGCGCTGTTAGTCTGTGTGATGGCTCTGCTAAGTGGGACCTTCTAGACATTGAATGGAAACTACCTAATTTAAACTCTGGGACTGAACTAAAACCAGAGCAATTGTATAGCAGTGAACCAGGTTTGCATATTAATTCTATACTGCAACCACTATTTTCAGTGTTGGCAAATGTTGTCATTTCTACCCTTCACCAGTGCTTTAGCTTGAATAGTATTCAATACGTGTATGTACTTATTGGACCTTACTTGAACGGATAAGGTTGTTTCCCTCACTGGGCAGCTTCACTTCTTTTTACACAGCATTATGAGCCCTTTCTATAGAAAACTGCAACTTGACTGGACTGATACAAGTGCACACTGAATAGACATTTTTCTTTATAAAGCCAGTTACATGGGTTTTAAAAATCAAGTTAGATGTGCATACACATATCAGACATAATATTATGAAGGTGTCTGTAACATTATGCTTGGTTTTGATTCTAAATACAGCACAGAAGCTGCATAGTAAGTAGTAGTTCCTCATAATATTAGCTTGGTCTAACTTCATTGGTAAAATACAAGTTTGTTTTTACAGTCGTGCTAAAACTATTGTGCCAGTCGTCTAGGGCAAATGGAGAAGTGGATAATGTTAAGTCTCACAACACATGTTTTTTTTTTTTTATTTATTCAAGTTCACTAAAATAATGGTGTCTTTTATATCACTGGATCAGAACATTTTAGCACTAATTAACTGACCATTAAATTCATCAGTTATATTATGGTTACACGATATATACTATATTACACTGTATCACATTATCATGGCCCATGTGTGTCATATGCATTTATTTGAAACAGTGCAATTGTAAGCTTTGTAAAATGTGCTTGTAAACGTGAATGTATTTGTATTTTCAACTCGAAAGTAGTTAGGCGGTCTACTTTGGTGATAGTTGTTTCACTCATTGCAGCAATGAACTCATCTCCTCCTGTCCTATGCACCTCTTTTGTATAGTATTCGTTGTTCTAATTTTATATACTGTACAGTTCTGTTGTGAGAAATAACCTGTTGTCTGAATGAGTAAAATTGTTATGAATTTAAACAATGAAACATATAACTGAATTGTTACAACAGACAGTTTTATATCCATGTTTACTACTAGGGCTAAGCTTAACTCCATGTAGATATTTTTTGTTTTTTTTGTTTTTTTTCCAGGAATGTTTACAGTATGGCATTTCATTTAACTATCTTCACAGAGACAAGCAGGCCACATCACCAGGCCAAGTTACAGGTCAGATCTGTGGAGAAGTGGGCCCACAAACAGTAAGAACACATATTAGTAGTAGTTTTAAAATAAAAACACCTGTAAATGAATAAATATAAGATATATTTGTTTAACATCACACTGTGGAACACCTAGTTCAGGGGTAAAAGCTTAGTCAATTAATGCAATGTGAAAAAAGAAAAAAACTCTTCTTCAAGCTGATCTTTTACCAGATTAAACATCATCAAAACATGACTTGATTGAGGTTATAATTAACAAGAACAAGACTAAAACACAAGTGTGTAGATAATAAAGATAAGACATAATGACTTAATGCAAATGTGTTAGTAATGGTTTTGGTTCTTATTCCATTCTCCTTATCTCCAGGTCACACAAGCTCATGCAAATACACACACACACACACACACACACAAACAGACAAAAACACACAGACACTACACAACACAAGCTTATTGTCTCAGCACATTGAAGAAAAGACGCTCTTTCCTTTGGGGCCCCATTGCTCAAGGTTAGCGTCAATGACAGAATAAATGTTAGCATGTGCTTTTTTCTCTTAGAATCCAAACCACAAGTTGTCATCCAGGAAAGGTCATGAGTTGCCAATATCTCAGAATAATGATTAGCTTTTGTTGGTTGGTGTATTTGTCAATACAGTGATTCACCTTGCAATGCTCTTAGACCTTTTCAAATTGGATTATCAAGTGATACTGAGGTTGCTTTACTTAAATTAATACTGTAGCATTGAAAAAACTTAAGGTTACCTTATTGAAAGGTGTAATTATTAATATTAGGCTATTTGTGTTCTAAAGTTGTTTCCTGATCACAAACTCAGGGTTGTGTTTTTTGGTTTATTTGTTTGTTTGTTTGTTTGTTTGTTTCATTCACACATTAACGCACAAATCCTGCATATTTAGGTTGAATTCTTCTCTTAAACACAAAAAAACTCTGTTTATCCTTGTGATGTCATGTGGTAATACAGGAAGTGCTCCACTGTATTTTTACACTTTCACTAGAATGACTTGGATGATTTCAGCCCTGGAACTGTCAATCTCTACTGAACTAAAGGTAAACGGTTGGTCTTAACTTGAAAAACTATCGCTTCATGTCATCACAATGTGGAACAGAGCATTCTGAGGTTTGGAGATGTAGACAGACTAATAATAAAGGATATGTGTGGATGTGTGTGTGTGTTTTTGATGAGGTAACAACATTATAACATGGCTTAAAGCTCACAAGAGTCAGTTTTGTATAATAAGACCTTTAAACAGTAGTAAACCAGTAGAATAAAGTTAGTGGTTAAGGTTAACATATTGTCCCTGTACATAAATATGCCCTTTGTATTTGACTCATCCTTAAATGCTATTTAGGCAAGGACACACGTTTCATGGCTATCATTCATGGCTAGGATTATGTTATTGCCTGGATAACTGTCTGTTGGAATCTAAGTGAACAAGCTCCATCCAGTAGTGAAAGCCCTGGCTAAAATGTATGTATTTCACAGTTCTGTATGCAAGTCTAAAGATCCTTTAAGAAAGAGTGTAGACAAAAACAGCTGTAACACAAGACATGCATTATAATAATCAATAAAAGGACTACTATATAAACAATATAATTTATGTTTACCACAAAATATCATGGTTTGATATTGTTTCACATTATAGCAGGCTTGAGTACTAAATGTCATAAAAAATATCATGTATGCACCTTATAAATCCTTTGAATTCAGATTTTTCTGCTTATTGACCTGGATGAATGGATTCTCTCTACATATGGGATATTTTACACAACAATGACCTGAAATCCCAGATCCTTCAGAGTTTGTGTGGAACATGCATCACAGAACATGCCCTCTTTTAAATGTGTGTGAGGATGTAAAATGGTTGAGTGTAGCAGGGCTCTTATTAGTGTGCATGCTGACTCCTCTCCTGCCAGGGCCCATCCACAGCCCCTTTATCACACACAGGGCGGGGAATTATTTCTGAAAATGCCTTTTCTGTCAGAAGGCCTTATCTGCAAAGCTAACATTAGCTGACCAGTTGGAAAAAATAGCTCTTAGATGAGGCGCTGTGATAGAAGGCCCAGCGTGGATGGATGGAAGGCTTGGAGATGGTCTGAACACCCAAGGTCCCATATGTTTTATACGAGCGTTTTGAGGAGAAAAAAAAATCAGCGCTGTCACTATTATAAATTATAAACATTGCTGCTTCCAACTGATGCTAACGGTTTATCCACTGTTCAAATAGATGATTGTCACTCTTTTTCACATAACTCTTCATCATTTTCCTTTTTTGTAAAAGAACAGAGCATAGATTATCACATGCAATTTTCCCTATCACACAATTATGAATCTGACACCTTAACAAAAACATTTAATACATTAAAATAATGCACTATGTAACTTAAATGTTGTCCCTCATCTGCTTGTTTCTATGGATATGTCATTGTTCTTCCACTGTATGACATTAAACCTTACATTTATTAATTTATTTATAAAACAGGCTGACTGTGAGCGGGGTTGCCTCTCCACAGATGTGACCTGTAACTTGATCCATGACGATAGAAAGGTTTACTACCATACTGTGAAACATTCCAGCTGAAAGCAATAACATCTCCATGAAGAAAAAGCATTTGACAGACCCTCCATGAGAAAAGTTACACAATGCACCTTTAAAGGTGTTCAAACATCATTTAGGTTAAAGGCTTTTTTACTGCTGAAAAAACACATTCATTTCTACTGTGAACTGCTTGTTACAGGGGCAATGGGTAGATTTAATGCATGGAGCAATAGGCCAAACTCTTCATGAAGTCAAGCAGGTGGTTAGTGCACTTTTAACTGAACATTAGACACATATTTTTAAACTACAACAAAACTCAGACCATGAAATCAGTTATTTATGAGATGCTTTGATGTAATTAATTGCCTTTACCCTTACACCATTAAAACTAGACAGAGTATTGAACAAGCCTTATCTGTAAATATCACAGCAGACACACTCTCAGAGGAGCTGTAAGTTTCATTTTGTGTGTGTTATGATTTCTTACTGAGTGAATGTGAGCTTGAGAGTGGAAGCAACATGACCCCATCGCTCAATAAAGATGATTTTCCCCCATAAATCAGGCCTGGCAGTGGAGGAGAGAGAGAGAGAGAGACAGAGAGAGACAGAGTGCATCAGGGCGCAAAAGCACTCCTGGCTGGCAGACCTCAGCTCCAAGTCAGAGCAAGTCATCATTCCCATTCACGTTTATGCGACTGGTTACCCATGTCGACCATCTTGAATGTTAAAGAAATCCTCAACCTCTCCTCACCTCCACCTCGCTCACTCCATCTTTCTCTGTCAGTAAATGATCATTGCAGCTGGCCCTTAATAGCCCCGCCGAGGTTGTTTCTCAATGTCAGAGAATGTGACATGCAATTTTTCAATGCGCTTGTGGACATTTATAAATAGTAGTTGGCAGAGGTGAGCTTAGAAAAAGTAAAAGAGAGAAGGAAACATATCGCTCGTCAAAGCCTCATTTAATGCAGGCAAGATTCTAGCTGGTGAAATTGCGTAGCTTTTGGAGATGGATTTTCACCACCAGTAGAAGATTGGACTGTGAAGTAATCCATGTAGTTGAATAAGAGAAGCAGATAGGCCCAGGTATCACTTACAGGCTGCAGAAACATCTCATTCCCTCTAGTTGTTGATGCCACCGTTTGAATTATGCTTTCATATGTTGCCAGTAATGAGTACACCCGTGCCTGACTCTCACATCCCTTAATAATTCAAACTCCACCTGAGACATCAAGCAACACTTTTGCATTTCCAACAGGGAATAATGTGTGCAGCCCTGCGTTTTTCATGTGTTATCTCTCATCTTTTCATCACACACTTTCAGAACCTTTGGCCTTTAATTCATCACAAAATGCATGTTTTTAACAGATATACATAAATACATAAAGGAACTGTACTTTAGTGAAGGATAGGAAAGCTCATTTATTAAACCTGGAGGAATGAGAAGCATTTGAAAAAAAAGTCAAAGCTTGTGGAAAATGCATGCACGTGAATACCAACAATGTGCCAAAGGGTTTGTGAGAGCTATGGACTACTAATTTACTACAACACAGTTAAGATCATAATATTTAAGATTTTCCAAAGAATTTTAGTTTTTCTCCAGTTTAGCCATTTTTTAAGTTTAAATTTTTGATTCCTGGTTGGAAATCATGACATAACACTAGGGGAATTCCAGAGCAACCAAAATGTTCACTGGAGTAAAACTGCTCTAATGTAATTATAATGAAATTATAATTTGATGAATAAAAACACAAGAAAACACCTTTATTTTGTTGAAATAATGAAATGCGATTCTTGCATGTAAATTGTGCCAAACTTTTGGATAGAATTCTGCCTTGTGTGATATCATCAGTATGTCTCTACTTCAGTAGTCTATTCTGTACTGTTTTTCAACTTTTCTTTGTACATTGCTTCTTGATTCATGTAAAATTATCATCCTATTTTATATTTACAACAGGTATTATTCCACTTTAAGTATAAATTAGAGAGTCATAAAAACCTTAAAACTTTAAACTCCAACCTCCTCAGACAGATACCCCAGTATTGTGGATTCTTCCAAGAAACACAATTATGTAAGTATTCACTGGCGTTCTCATTCTGTGACTTCCAATGGACTTGTTTCTCCCAACACCCCTGTTCCAAGATGCACTTGGAGAGTGCATCTTGGAACACTCTCCAGTCTTGTCACATTTGTTTATACAGGAAAATTGTAAACCTTATAGTTCTGAACCTATCAACAACATCCACTTCATAATCAATGTACACTAGATATAGTGTTCAAATCTACGTATGTATGCAGAACTGCAGATGACAACACACTGAAATCACTGTTTACTCTCAGCTGTACATCTCTAAGGCATCATTTCCAAATGAAAGCAGCAGAGAAATAGAAAGGCTGAGACCTCTAGTGAAGACCAAAATAAACAAATCTCTAAAAGGAGTTGTCATGGGTGCGTTTGATTTAATTCGCCTCACTGTGTGGTCAGAGTCTTTCCACCACTCTTAATAAAACTGCTCTGAAAAGTACTGCAGGTAATATTTGCCTGATGAGATCTTTCTCTGTTTGAACTTCTGCTCTTTGGTTAAAAATAGTTACAGTCTATTTATACACGACAATGAGTTCAGGGAAGGAAGAGGAATCTCAAATTTGCGCACGTTCTAAGACTTTATTTCAAAATTTGTGGTAATAAATTTGTATCTGACAACTAGTCTACAACAAATCGAGATTAGAGCATATCAAAGTGAATTCTAATAACACTATCTTAGAGCATCATTAATTATCATTTACTACTATTTCAGTTCCAAAAGCACTGCAACTCACTACTTACACAAAACAAACATTACACAAAATTGCAACAACAAAACTTGCACTGCTTATTTTGCCTGGTTGCTAAAGACCATAAGCTTTCACAATACTTTAAAAACCTTTCGGACTGGAACCAGTTTCAGTCTGAGTCTGATTGACAGGAAAATTAACCAATCAGAGAAACGCATAGTCTGTTCATATTTAAACAAACATGGCGGCTTATGAGAAAAAATATATATACATGAGCATATTCAAGAAGAGATGGCTTTCACGTTTGAGAGACACTAGGACTTCATTAAGGCATTTCAGTAAAATAAAGCCTACAAGACAAGAGCTGATCCAAGTAAGAAGAAGTATCCATTTAGAGGCACTTCTAAAAGAACTATTGTTATTTAATCCCACTTGCAAAAGTGAAAAGGCAAACATAAAAGGCCACTTTGTTAAATTTAAGATGTATTTGATGCAGTAACCAGTGAGAATCTATTTTTTCAATGACCAAAGTGACTTCATATTCTGTCATCCTCTCTACAGTAGTCATTTCCAGGGCTGCTTGTATAGACTGCACTGTGTATACCTGTGCAATAGTAATAAGGGGTTTTCTGGTTGGGGTGCCAGGGCAGAGAGCAGCTCACTGACAGCACTCATGAATAGTGATGGTCGACAGCTGCTCATTAACCAGGAGACTGTCTGTCAGGTGCAGACAGGAGCAGACAGGAGCAGCCCCTCAGTACACACCAATACATACTTATATACACTCCACAGCCTGCACCAGCTAACCCACGAGTTTGTATCCCCCTTCATCTATATCCCCCTGGGCCTAACACACATCCACTCTCCCCTCTGTGTGACTATTACACATGTGCTCCCATAGCTCCCAATGGAATACAACCCTGCATAAACACACACGCACACATACACACACACAGACACCTGGTACATGTAAATATTGAGGCTTCTGCAATGAAAAAGATGATCATTTTAAAGCACAAGTAGCAAAGGAATATTCCCTTTAAAAGTTTTCAATCCCCCGAGTTTGTCTGACTTTCTTTAAATTTAATAACCCGCAAAGAATGTTAAAATTCTATTACAAGGCGACCTAGTTATTGTGTTGAGTGCACTTCAGTGAATTTATGTGGTGCTAAAAGCCACAATCTGTGTAAGACAGGGGTAATGGGAGGATTTTTAACCCTTCATTCAAGGACGGTTTAATGACTGTCAAATTGTGTTGA